GAGACATGGACCATAATTACATTGTCAGCATCCATGTTCATTATAGCATGGCATCAACCATAAACGAGAGTTTGCAGCTGGATGTCAGAGAAGCGAAGCCAGGAAGGACAAGCATCCTCTCCCTTAACCGCAGCCGCTGCTCTCGGAAAACCCTGGGAGGTCAGCCCTGGATACAGCCGGCCGCTGCCTCCTGGAGGCCCACGGCCTGCATGTCACTGACGGCGAAGCTCACACTCACTGGGCCTCTCTCTTATCCTTGACCTTGCTCACTTCCTTGGAGTCCCCCGGGCTGTGGCCTCAGAGAGACTCAGAAAGAAATGCCATCTCTGGTCCCGTGTGTTGAACAGGCAGAAGGTCCTAGGGGCTGTCGTCCTGCCCCACTGCCACCACCATCGCCTGCTCCTCCCCCGGCGCCTGCCTCCGCCTCCCTCCCGCGACAATCTGAGCTGTAGTCCCCAGGACTGAAGCGTGCAGTGGCCCCAAAACAGCATGTCGGTGTCTTAACCCAAAGCCTGTGCGTCTGGACTTTGGACAAGGGTCTGTGACAGGCGCATGGTGAACGTCTTCAGATGCGGCCACCTGGGTTGTCCGGGGGGGCCCTGCCCCCAATGACAGTGTCCTCACAGAAGGAAGGGGACGTGGACCTGGGAGACAGATTGAGCAGGCAGAGGAGTGATGAGGGCCGCCCTCCCTCCTCCATCCAGGGAGAACGTGTTGCACAGAGTGTGCCTGGAGGCCTCGGCTCCCTGCGAGCACAGAGCCCTGGCACCAGGGACCACCACCAGCCAGGGCCGGGAAAAGCCCAGCGTTTCATGGGGAATCTGTGGGAGCAGGGGCACCGTCCCCACCCCCACGCAGGACTGGTTCAAGGCTGAGCCTGTCAGCACCCGTGGTCTCTCCCGGGGCACAGTCTGCCCAGCAGACCCAGTCACCACCGCGTCCATGTACTCATGGGGGTGATGGACGGGCTTGCCCGGAGCTCCTGGATGCACCTGGGAAATGCCATGACCCTCTGTCCTGGCACAGCCTCGCCCTCTGCCCGGTGGTCCTAGACCCCCTGGAGGGAGCCGGCTTCATCTGCTGCTGACAGCCCAGCAGGGAGCGGGCTTCAGAAGCACTGCGAGCAGTTAAATGCTACTTAAATGTGCGCTAATTAGATTTGCCATCGATGCAAACACAGGACCGCGCCGAGACCTCCCACAACAGTGAACGAGCGAGTCTCCCCAGCGGGCGGGCGCCAGGCCACTGCCAGCCGGCCCCCACCGGCCCTGCCTCCCACCGTGGATGCATTGGCTGCCTCACAAATGTGTCACGTCAAAATGTGCCTTTTCTTTCTATTTCTTTTCTTTCTTTCTTTCTTTTTCTAATAAGGAAACAGCATCATCAAATGGAAATGGTTATAGCAAATTAAGTCCAAGCAAGGAAGGAACTCGAAACTAATTTTTTTAAAACTTCACTGTGTCCTAGTGTTCAATACCCAAACTAATGGGGTTGCAGCAACGCAGCCAAGACCAAGGATCCGAGCCCACGGATGGGCAACGCCAGCCCAGCTCGCCGGAGACCAGCCTCAGAGGCCGGTGGTTGGGCCAAGGAGACACGCTTCCATGGAGATCCAACGATGTTATGTGTCAAACGCACAGAGGTGGTTTCTCCTTTGGGCATCCATCCACCGAGCAGCCGTCTCCCTCCATCCTTCCTTTGTTGGGGCTGGACGCCACCCCTTCAGCCCCATCCTTGGGTGGTGGACACCAGGGCCCCAGCCCAACCCGCATCCCTCAGGATCCTGCTCAGAGGAGACCTGAGGGGGAGGCAAGTGGTCCAAGATCCCTACCCCCACCCCACAAGATGGGCCCCTTCCACACCTGCTCCCATCACACACCCTGCTCACTCACCTGCTGCCCCTCACCATCCCCTGATATTCATTCAACGCCTCCCCTGAAGGACAGAGCTGAGGGTCTGGGCTCCGGGAGGGTCTGAGGACTAAGAAGGAGAAGAGAAAATGTAATTTGTTGGAGGAAGTGAATAAAAACGGACGAACCACTTGGGAAAGGCCAGAAAGAACAAAGGAGAAATGGGGACATTCTTAACTTCCAGGGTGTCTTCTTGTGAGGCCCTCTCTCACCCTCTCCTTTCAAGGGTCTTCTCAGAGTGGCCCTTTCGATGGGCCCTGGAGGTCACAGGAAGCGGGCCAGGCCTCAGTGCGCCCGGGACGAACACTGAGCACTCACCATGCAGTCACCACCCGCCCCGTGCCCAGCCTGACCCTGAGCCTGCAGAGCCCCTGGGGGCCCGCTCAGCCCTGACCACTAGGGCCAGGCCCGTGACCCATGACCCTTGACGTGCCTGGAGAGCTGGCAGGAAAACGCCCACACACTGGCAGGCCCCAGGCAAAGCCTCTGAGACCCTCATTCTGAAGGGGCCCTCAAAAACACCTAATATCCATTTATTGCATGCGGCCAGCGAGAAGCTGCCCAAAATACCTCATTGACCTCCCGGTGGCCTTGGACCCGGGCCTGGCTTGTCCTGGGGCCCTGACAAGCAGTCTACAGACGGAAGGGCCTCATCGGAACATCCTAAGTTTTTGTTCATTTTATTATTTGCTTCTCAAACTAGGCTTCACCTCGGGGCTGAATGAATTTGTTGGCATAAATCTTTGTTAGAAATGGTCTACACAAATTCAAACCGACACTGCGGAGAGGGGAGACGAGAGAGAGAGAGAGAGAGAGAGAGAGAGAGAGAGAGAGAGAGAGACAGCTAGTTGCCATGGCAACCGGAGACCCGGCTTTAATTCCACTCTGTGAGCCACGCACGCTGAGCGCGCACGGAGGCCAGCCTCGCATCCCGTGCCCTCCGGGGCCAGGCTGCACACGCGCGGCAAGGTCACCTCCAGCGCCAGGGGGTTTCTCCTGATTCCAGGTCTCAGAATCTCACACAATGGCTGGCGACGAGGCAGCGCCGAGGCTGTCTACAATGTCCGGGAGAGACGCAAGCCCTGCTGAGATGTCAGCAGCCAGGCAGAGGCTGTTCTCATTCCAGAGACGTCGCATTTTTATTTATTTTGCAAATAAAGTCTTACAATGTAACATTTCTTCTTTTTTAAAATATATATCTTGTTGATTTTATACAGAGAGGAAAGAGAGGGACAGAGAGATAGAAACATCGAAGAGAGAGAAACATCAATCAGCTGCCTCCTGCACACTCCCCACCAGGCACATGCCTGCAACCAAGGTACAAGCCCCTGACCCTTGAGACCGAAGGCTGACGCTCCATCCATGGAGCCAAACCAAACAGGGTGATGTCGAGTCTTTGGAGAACTCCCTGCATGCTCAGGACGGGGCCAGACGCTCACCTGGGAGACGGGGAGATGGCACCCGAGTGTCCCTGAGCCGAGCAATGATGCTCTGTCACTGTGCTGACCACTCCAGACCCTTGGTCTGGTCTTTGATTCCATCCACCGAGAGGCCTGCATCCTCCCCAGGCGCCTCCTGTTCTCCCACCAGCAGCCTCAGAGGCCGGGAGAGGCAGAGAGGTACCGGGCTCCCCAGCACATGTCCTGGGTGCAGGAACCGGGGCTCTGGCCCTCCGGCCCTGCAGGGGCAGCTGGCTGCTCTGTCCCCTGACAAGGTGGGGCCCCAGCACCCAGCCCCGGGCTGAGCCTCAGCAGGGCCCAGCACCCGTGGCAGAAAGCCATCGGCTACCCACCCCTGTGTCCGAGTGACTTCCCTCAGAGGGACAAATGGCATCGGCTGTGAGCAAGGGCAGGGCCTCGTGTCCCAGAGGTTGCAGCTGCCTCTCCTGCGGACGCACACCCACATCTGCAGGGCGGAGACTTCAGTGGGGAGTCCTGAATTCATAGAATGTGCCAGAGAGTTGACCTTCCCAAAGAGGAAGTGGAGACCCAGGGCATTAAGGGAGGCCAAGGCAGGCTGCCCACCTTACCCTCCGAATGGCCTCTTCTGTGGGTTCCCAGGGCCACTTCTGCAGGGCGTGGGAAGCCCTGGGTCTGGTCCCGGCCCCCTGCTCTGCGGCCAGGACAGATCGCTGGGACAGCACACCAAGCTGTGCACAGAGCAGAGGGAACAGCCGGTGACAGCAGGGTCCCAGGTCGCTGCCCCAGCACATGCACCCTCCTCCCGGACTTGTCCCTGCCGTCCTGGGGAGCTGAGCCCCCCGGTGGGCTGTTCATGCCTGGCTTCCTGTCATCTCTGGACGGGGAGCCCCTGAAGGCAGTGAGGGATTGGCCTGTTCACCTTGCACCCTGTACCTGGACAGTCTGGATGGAGGGGGCAGCAGGGGACAGGACATCAGGGCAGAAACACCATGGAACCACCCCCACCTCATTCCGAGTAGGTTCCCCACCTCCCTCCCTGTCCTTCTTGTCCCCGAGCCGGGACCCCCAGAGAGCTCCAACTGCCCCACGGCCCTGGGGAACCAGCCTAGGGGGTTCCCCCCTGATACCCACTCCCTGGCACCTGGAAAGGCCTTCACCTGAGGTTCAGGACTTATCGCAGAGCTCCACAGGGAAGCGTTGGCAGCACCCCACTCAGAGGCAGGGTACCATGAGGCTGAGGAGCTGGAGCACAGAACCCCTCTAATTCCTGTATTCTTAATGACACCATTAAATCAGGCCCTTCAGCCTGGCCCAGGTGGCTCAGTGGTTGAATGTCAACCTATGAACCAGGAGATCACAGTTTGATTCCCGGTCAGGGCGCATGCTTGAGTTGTGGGCTCCATCCCCAATGTGGGGTCTGCAGGAGGCAGCTAATCCATGATTCTCTCTCATCATTGATGTTTCTCTCTCCCTCCCTCCTTCTCCCAGGGACTCCTGAGCAGGGTCACAGCCTTCTAGATTGAAGGGAAGAGTCATGGGCTCCCCCTCCAGGTCCCCAAGAGCTGAGTACAGGCCCTGCCGACAGGATCCCACTTCCTCCCTCCCCTGGCCCCCTCTGTCTGGGGGGGGGGGGGGCCTGGGGGCTGGAAGGGCCTGGAAGGGCCAGGGGCCGTGGGGCTGTGCACACCAGCAGGATCGCTGACTCACGCTGGGAGGACTCATTGTGGGTGCACCTCTGTCTGCACATGTTTGGATCCGTGATGTTTTGGCACAAGGACTCTGAAAATTCCTCCCAAACCGATTTCCTGCTCACAGGTCTGTTTTTGGAGCCCTCCACGCACAGAGCTTTCTTTTACAAACAAAACCAGCAGTCCTCCTGCCTCCGTTCGGGGAGACGTTTTCAGGTGAGCTGCCCGGCTCTGCTGGGAGCGAGGGCAAAGCCTGGCCGGTTGGTTGTCTCTTTAAATCGGCTCCGCAGTGTGATGGGCACGGGAAGAACCATTCCCAGCCTGCGGCAGGGAGCTGGCCACAGCGCCGCCATCCGCCTCCCCCATCCCCATGGTTACGGCTCCTGCTTCCCGCCGGTCCTCTTCCCTGGCTGTAGTCCGCGGAAGCCAGCGAAGCAAGCGCAGAGGCGGCTGGCGTTCCTCGCCTGGGTTCTGGAAGCTGCGTGCTGAGAATCGCACGGCATGTCTGCCGTCCTGGCTCTGACTCACGTCCCCGGCTGCGGTCCTGCAATCTGTTGATAACTCCGCTCGCGAGCCGAGCAGGGGTGCCCGGGCCCTGGGAATGGAGACCTGCTCCCCGGCACAGCGAGCTCCCGGCGGCTCCCCGGCAACAGGCACAGGCACGGCACTGCCGCCCCTCCAGCTGTTTTCGCCAAAATAGGTGAGAAGTTGGGGATGGTGTCTCGGGGTCTGAGTAGCAGGGGGTGGACCTGGGGGCCGGGGAGCGGCAGGAAGTGGGGGAGGCAAGGTGGGAGCCCGCTGCCCACAGAGCCCATTCTCCACCGTTTCTCGGGCGTCAGTGCCAACCTGGGTGAGGCGATGCCTGCTCCTGGGAATGCAGATTCCCAATAACTTTGGGTAGAGCTGAGGGCACAGAGCCAGGGCCAAAATCTGTGTCTGTGTGGGGAGAAAGCAGCCAGCACCGGAGCCCGGCTACATCCACCGGCCAGGAGCTAGTTGTTGGTTAGGAGACTAATCCAAGGTTTACCGGGTTCTCTGGACTTCAGCTGGCAGACGTGTTACTCAGCTCGGTGAGTTCAGCTTCCTGTGCTGGGTGGCGAGCATGGGTGGATTGTTAAATGTGCAGAAGGGAGTGCTCCCCGGAGGGCAGTCTGGCTGCCCGTGCGTTGGGCCAGGCGCCCTAAGGCTCCCGAGCCCGGGTGGTCCCGGACCCTCCGCGTGCCCCTGACAGATGGAGGCCGGAGTCCGAGTCCACAGGCTGGCAGGGCTGAGAGCAGCCGGGATGGGGCAATTCTGGGGGGCGCTGGGGCTATGGGGGGGAGAGGACAGCAGGGGGACCCTGCCCTGCCCTGACCAAGGCCCTGTCTTCACAGGTAGGCGCAGCCTCTCCACCCTCACCCGCCCCACCAGAGTCGCCCTGAGGCCCGTAGCCGGGGGCTCGACCCTGTGGCCGCTGTTTCGGGACCTTGACCTTCTGGGCTGCCATGGAGGCTGGCGGGGAGAAAGGCGCGACATAGCTGGCTGACCGGGACACCATCTGCATCCGGGGCGTCCACCCTTCAGCCCCTTCACGTGCTCATGGTGAGGCCACACGCTCAGGGGCCGGGGGCGGGGGGCACGTCGAGGGCGGCCGCCTGTGCACAGAGGCCCCGGCCAGGACAGTGAGTTGTCAGGTGGGCAGCCAGCCCGCAGCCAGGCACACACAGCTGTGCCTGTGCCCAGAGCCCTGGGATGGGGAGGGGGCTGAGGGCCGGGGGGTGGCCATTTGTTCCCAGGCCGCCCGCCTGGCTGCTCGGAGGCTCATACTAATTAGTTGATGGCGTGCCGCAATGTTGAATCATTTCATCCGTGGAGGAGACGGCCGCCCCGCGCCCCCTCCCCCGCGGCTCGGCACCTTCCCTGGCCTCGGGCCCGGCCCTCCCGCTGCAGCGCTGCCCTCCGCTCGCCGGCGGAAAGTTGGCAGGAGCTCAGGGGGACGTGGGTGGGCTTCGGCGGCACGTACACCGGCACACACGGGGGCGTTCCTCTCGCCGGCAAAGGGGGGCGGCGGCCGCGAGCAGCCGGGGCGGTGAGGGGGGCTCAGCCTGCGGGCTCGCGTGGCGGCTGCCGGTTCGGACTCCGGAAGGTTGATGCTGATTGAATAATGCAGCGTGTGTGTGTGTGTGTGTGTGTGTGTGTGTGTGTGAGAGAGAGAGAGAGAGAGAGAGAGAGAGAGAGAGAGAGAGAGAGAGAGGGAGGGAGGCGGCAGAGCACGTGCAGGGAATGCTGATGACCAGAGGACAGTGCAGCCGGCAGCAGCAGCCGTGGCATGGACCCCAACCGTGAGCCCCAAATGCAGACCCGGTGGTGGTCTGCTTCCTGAGGAGGGGCCAGTCTGAGTCGCCTTCTCGCTTCCTCTCCGTCAGAAAGGTCCAAACGGGAGAGATGCTTTCCTCCGGAATTCAGCGTCGCTCCCAGGCCGCCCCGTGCCTCGGAAGCTGGCCGGACGCCAGGCACTCGCCTTTCAGACAGCTGAGAGGTTGCGTGTTTTGGGCACAGGCTGCTCCTCGGAGAGGCAGGCCGCTGGCCCGGCCCCCAGCTTCCTAACTGCTCACTTGTTGCCCGAAAGTGCCACACCCAACATGGCTGTGGCCCCCGGGGGTCAGCATCCTTTCCTCAAACGTAGACCCCCGTGTTCCCACGGAGCCTGCCCCTGGTGGGGACCGAGGAGCTGGCAGGCGCCCAGCACTGCCCTTCAGGAAGCCTCAGGTGACCGCTGCCTGTTTGCTGAGCTCATCTCCGGTCCCTCGGCCCTTCCATTTCAGGGCAGGGTCTGCCCCGGTCTCTGCCAGAACGCCGGCCCATCCAACACTGAAAACCGCCCGGTTAGCCTTGCCCACAGAGCCTGGATTTCAGCCGTTTGGTGGGGTCTTGTCTTAATAAGTAGCATTTACACCGGAGAGAGTTTCTGACAGCAGAAGGCCCTGCCTCGCATGCAGGGTCGCCATTCAGGTGAGAGCACGTTTCTGTGAGTGTCTGAGTCTGTGGTGCAGGTGCCATGGCAGGCCCATCCCGTGGCTCGTGGATCCGAGGGAAGCCTGAAGGCCCAGCCACCGGGCAACCTGCCCCTGGCTGCCCCAGGCTGCCGCCCTCTGGCCACACGTGCAGCTCCTGCAGGGCCCGGGCCACCCTGACACCTGCGGTCAGCAAGCGGCCTCCTGGGTCCCACGTTGCCTAGGCCACACACGCGAGTTCAATCGCACTGAGTTCGAGGCGTCGCTGGGCAGGCTCCCGGGGCCACGCCTCCGTCCAGATCGGGCGGCTGTCTGTCCGGCACTCAGGCAGGGCCTGAATGCCCAGGTGCTGCCCCTGGAGGCCTGTGTCTGGCAGCTGATGCCCAGGCCGCCATCACCCATTAAAAATCTTCATCCTAAGCCACATGTGTCAAACACAAGGCCCGCGGGCCAAATCCGTCCCGCCAGGCCTTGCAATGTGGCCCGCACCGAGCTGTCATCACTGCACTCCGCTGCGTTTCCATCACAATGACAGTTTATGACTGTTCAGTAAACCATTCGGCCCGCGATTTAGGCTGGATTTTAGATTTTGGCCCCTTCTCTGATTGAGTTCGACACCCCTATCCTAAGCAGACGTGGGCTGGCCTGTTCCTGGCTGCTGCAGCTGGGATTCCAACGGCAGCAGGTTCCCCACGCTCATCACTTTGTGTCCTATCATCTTCCGTGACCTTCACCCTGAGCGAGGGGACCGCCTCCCCTCAGGGAACAAAGTGGCCGGCTTTGGAAGCAGAGGAAAAGGTTGTCCAAACCTTTGCACTGTCCCTGTCCCCTCCCAGAGGAGCCAGAGGAGGAGCAGGGGCCGTGGCCCAGCTGAGGGTTCCGTGGTCTCAGCCCCTGAGCTCTGGGTGGGAGTGGCGCGGGGAGAGGCCTGGCGTGGGGGGTGCAGCCGCCTGCTGGCACCTCCAGTCACAGTGGCATCAGGTGGCGCTGAGGGTGAGCTCCCTGTCCCTGACCTGCAGGTTCCAGTGGCACTAAGGCCACCCGGTCATTCGGGAAGGGCCTGGCCCAGGAGGGCTGGGGCTCTCGTGCAGAGCCCAGCAGAGCCCCCCACGTGCTCCGAATTCGGGGCTGGAATCAGTGTCATCGGAGCGTGCTTGGGGACATCCCGGAAGCCCTGAAGCCAGGACAGGGCGAGAGGCCAGTCCCGCCCCGGCCATGCTTGGAGTCGGAGACACACGGCATGCTCAGGGTGCCCTCTATCCCACAGCTGTACCCCCCATTCAAGCAAGGGAATTAAAACCCCCAAAGCGATCAGGCCAGGCACGGGGCAGGGAGCTCCGGAGGCCCACAGGGAGAAAACCGCCGTTGTCTGAGCCGAGGACCTGGGCCCAGTGCTGTTCCGGACGCTCCCAGTGCTCAGTCGCCCAGTCGCCCAATCTGTCAGGGGGTCACTCCCACTCCAAACGCATTCTCTAGGCCAAGCCTGGAACCCCCTCCCACGCCACCCCAATCCCCTTTACACACACACACACACATACACACACACACACACACACACGCACACACACAAACACCCGCCACCGCCCGCACCTCCAGCCTCGCCTGCTGCAGACACTTGACTTCAATGAGTGCTCTCCGTTTGTGCTTTCAGTTCTGCCCGATATTTGCACTTCGAAACACTCATGAAACACCCTTCAGTCTACGACCGGAGAGTGCCCCCCCTCCACACGCGTCCCCTTCAGCAAGGGACGCCCAGTCGGAAGGAGCGTCCCCTAGACGCTCTGCTCTGTTCTCGCCGAAGCTCTCGAAGCCGACCAGCCCACACGCCTCCAAAAGGAAACGGAACAAACATGTAAATGCAACGTCCAATTAGGGTAATTTGTGCTCCGAATGAATAAATTACTTATCTTTTTCCTCTGCCTTTCCCCCGGGAACACTCTGATGAAAGGTTGACAGATCAATAAGATGCAATTATCATTAAAAAGGCGACAAGGGACGGCAGGCGCTAATGAAATCAGCCTCGGTTAGAACAGACCCGTGAGGAAGGGCATCCGGGCGCCTGTCCCCGGCCTGGGGACCCCTCCCCCCAGGGGACAGGGTGCACACATGCTCCGCACACACATATGTCTGGTGTAGACCCCTCTCCACTGAAGGCCGGTGTTTGGAGCAGACAAGTGGCACGTGACCTGGCTGACTCCCTCCTCCTTCCCTCTTGCTCTCAATGTCCTGATTTACTTGGTTTGCAGAACGTACGGAAAGGACGCTTGCAGCTCAGACAATAACATAATGTAAAAGGAGCGTAGGCCTCGGGAAGTGGGAACGAAAAACAGACCCGCAGCCCAGGCCTCAGCTCCACAGAGAAGAGGGCCGCCTGGGAGGATGCAAGCCGGTGTCTGAGGAGGAGACGGCGCCTGGTCCTGCAGGCCCGGAAGTGACCAGGAGTCACAGCTCCCACTCCCATGGGGCTGGGGGGGGGAGGGGTCCCCTCATCCTCCCCTCCCGGCTCCCTAGCCTTCCTGCTGTGCGCTCGGGGCTCCACCCATGGTTGCTGGTCCAAAGGGCACTGCTGGGGCCATGGCCTAGGGCAGTGGTCGGCAAACTCATTTGTCAACAGAGCCAAATATCCACAGTACCACGATGGAGGTTTCTTTGGAGAGCCACATTTTTTAAACTTGAACTTCTTCTAGCGCCACTTCTTCAACATAGACTCGCCCAGGCCGTGGTGTTTTGTGGAAGAGCCACACTCAGGGGGCCGAAGAGCCGCATGTGGCTCACGAGCCGCGGTTTGCCGACCATTGGCCTAGGGGGACTTGTCTGTTGACCACACACCAACAACCGTCAGGATCTGCGGGTGGAACGCTGGCAGAGTGGATTCCTCCAGGAGGAACTTGTACATGCGTGAACTTTAAGACATAAAGCGTGTCTCCGTTTTGCATTGCCTACTTTGAATTTTAAATGTCACCTCTAAAAATGTAGAAAGGCACTGTTGGGAACTCTGATTTGGAGGAAGGAAAAAGAGAGGAGGCCAAAGGGAACGGATTGTTTCTTATAAACACCCACGGTGGCTGCCGCTGGGAGCCTCAATCCTGGGCCCTCAGAGGAGGGGGGAGCACCTGAAGGCGGGGTGACCTCCGGCCGGTGAACCCAGCCTGGGCGCACCCTCACAAAATGTCTCTGCACCGTGAATGGTGCGGGTGCTGCCGCCGGGGTGTCCCTGTCACCTTGAGGCTGGCACCTCTTGGCGCTCATGGCTTTGTGGGAATTTGGACGAGGGCACAGCGTGTGTCCTGCTGGAGCCCATGCCAGGCGGATGCGAGTCAGTGCTGCTCTGTGCATGCGCACACCTGCCCTTCAGACGTCCCACGGCATGGACGGCGCAGACCGAAGCGTGGGTGCCACCGTGGTGTCCGGCCCGCGGTCTGTGGAGGGTCACAGCACCCTCCCTCTGTCACGTCTGGTCATCTTCTTAGCCTGGGCCGGGGTGCTGTTTCCGGCCTCAATTGCCGACCAGGTCCCGTGGTGTCAGACCGTGAAGAGCCGCCCTGGCGTCCGCTGGCTTTTAGGGGAGGTCTCTCTGCTGTCATGGCAGCAGCTGATGGGATCCAGTCAGGGGGAAATCCACCAAGGGCTGTCGGAGCCCCATAAAGATGGCCAGCGGGGCCGCCCCGCAGGGTGAAGCCACGCGTGGGCAGCCCAGGAGGCGTGGTTCCACCCGCTGAGCACTCACCTGAGCAGGGTCTTCCCTGGCAGGGTGCCTGCTGCTGCTGCTGAGACCCGGCAAAGGCCCCCAGGTTCCGAAAACGCCTCCAGGGACTACAGGGAGGGGCTGGGCCCTGCCACGCACACGGGTGCTCAGCCACGTCGCTCACGTGGGCCTGCTCTGTGTTCCTTCCAGGATTTGAAGAGTGTCCTCTCCCTGCCCCAGCACCCAGGGGAGTTCCTGCACCCCGTGGTGTACGCCTGCACGGCCGTCATGCTGCTCTGCCTCCTCGCCTCCGTCATCACCTACCTCATGCACCAGAGGTGAGGCCCCCCTCTGCCCTGAGACGCCCCGCTTCCCCGCCTCATGCAAACCCCAAAACTCCTACCCTCACGGAGCAGGAAGACCCTGGAAGGCACTTCACAGGTGGCCAGCCAGCTTGAGCCTGCCCAGCCTGGGTGGCCTTGGGGGTGACTGGGTGTTGGGGACAGCCAAGCACCTCCAAACCCAGGGTCCATGTACTTATCAGAGAACATGTGAAGTGAATTCTTCCTCCAACAGCACAACGTCTGCTCAGGCGCCCGAGGGCCGTGTCCTTGGGAAGTTGGAGCAGCCGGCAGACCCTCAGGCACGTCTGCATTTTTTTTTTTTCCTAGAAAGGGGAGTCTAATCAGGTCTCTTCTGAGCCGGTCTCCTCTGCCTGGGAGTGAGGAGATGACCTGGCTGTGTCCCCATCCCTTGAGGATGCCCTGGGGACTGTGAGGAGGAGCCTCGGCCATGGTCAGGGTCTAGCCCACAATTCATGTCATGGGCAAAGCCTGGGCTGTGGCAGAACCACCGAACCTCCTTCATGGGAAGAGACGTGGGGAGGGTGCACGGCCACGGAGGGCTGTGGCCGCAGGCACGGCTGTCGGCATAGGCTAGGTCCGTGATAGCAAACCACTGCTCGTGAGCCACATGCGGCTCTTTGGCCCCTTGAGTGTGGCTCTTCCACAAAATACCACGGCCTGGGCGAGTCTATGTTGAAGACGTGGCGTTAGAATAGGGGTGTGGAACTCAATCAGAGAAGGGGCCAAAATCTAAAATCCAGCCTAAATCGCGGGCCGAATGGTTTACTGAACAGTCATAAACTGTCATTGTGATGGAAACGCAGCGGAGTGCAGTGATGACAGCGCGGTGCGGGCCACATTGCAAGGCCTGGCGGGACGGATTTGGCCCGCAGGCCTTGTGTTTGACACATGTGCGTTAGAAGAAGTTTAAGTTTAAAATATTTGGCTCTCCAAAGAGATTTCAATCGTTGTGCTGTTGACTAATGAGTTTTCTCACCACTGGGCTAGGTAGTCTCAGTCGTGGCCGCAGTGTTCGAGCACAGTGCCGGCGTGGCGATAGGGGTCGCCACGTAGTGGGTCACTGTCACGGCCTCCCCTCCAGGTTATAAGAGATTTCTCAAAAGCCCCCCAGTCCTCCTGCTCCAAGGGGATTTAACACCAAACCCACCGGCCACACACTGAGGGTGGACTCCGCACCGTCTGTCCGTCTTTCCCTCGATCTGGTCCTTGGGGTGTGTCTCTGCCCAGAGGTCTTCCCGGTTCCCACGTGGACAGACGCAGGGGAAGGGCTCACGCACACTCTGCGGAGGGGCGGGTTCCTGACAACACGCCTGTGTCTCCCCAGCGCCATCCGGATCAGCCGCAAGGGCAGGCACACGCTCCTGAACTTCTGCCTGCACGCAGCCCTGACCTTCACGGTGTTCGCCGGGGGCATCAACCGCACCAAGTACCCCATCCTGTGCCAGGCGGTGAGTCTCCCCTCACCCGGTCTTCCTCTGCTGTAGATCGCCAAGGGCTCATCGCCTCTCCCTCCAAAAGGGACGCTTGTGGCCATTGTCTTGGGTATAAAATCCCATTTGAGTATCTGTGCGGGTGTTTCTCAGGAATGGGTGCGCCCAGCGTCCAGTGTGTCCGTGCAGCAGACCCAGGTCAGCCTAGTTATTTCGCTCAGCATTCCATCATATAAATAACTGGAGGCCCAATGCATGAAATTCATGTGGGGGGGCGGCCCCTCAGTTTGGCCTGCACCCTCTCACAGCCTGAGAGCCCTTGTTCCTTCCTTCTGCTCGGCTGGCTGCTCCTTAGCAGAGGCAGGGGAGGCTCCCGTGGCCGCCACCACCGCTGCACTCGCCAGCTGTGAGCCCAGCTTCTGGCTCAGCAGCAGGGGCAGCTCCTGCGCTGAGCATCTGCCGCCTGGTGGTCAGTGAGCATCATAGCAACCAGTCGTTCTGCCATTTGGTCAATTTGCATATTAGGCTTTTATTATATAGGATGTATTTTTTCACTTGGACAAACTCACTCCAAGGCTTGTGGTGGCCACAAGCTGATGAGAAGTCCACTGCCCCACCAACAGGGCTTGTCCAGGAGCAGGGGCCTGCCCTGCGGAGGCTGGTGGGGAGGGAGCAGGGGACCAGCCATCTGCTCCCTCGTCCAGGTAAGAATCCCAGGATGCTAAGCCGAGACTCGTAACCAGGCAGTAGAAACTGTCACCAGTGGGCTGCCACGGAGTCCAGGCCACAGAGACACGTGTGGAGGCCACGGAAGAGTCTGCTCCGCCCCCTCTCGGGTGAAAAGGGAGAAACGTAAACGAACCCTTCGGCTCCTGACAGGGCTCAGAAGAGGCCCTTCCACAGCCCACAGAGCATCCCCACAAGGTTTCTGTCACTTACAGCCCCGCGGAGGGAGCCGTGACAGTGGCCCCCACGGGGATGTCCAGCTGCTCTCCTTACAGCCTCGGTGGCTGTGAAGCCGTCACCGATGTCTGTGCTGCCGCAGCCTCGCCACCGGGGACCTGGAGCGCCGGCACTGACCCCGGTAGCTGTCCGTCCACACGAGGCGGCCTGTCCACCTGCACAGACTCACCCTGGGGACCGGCCGGTGAGATGCTGCTCGCACAGGGGCACCTCAGGGAATAATCAGGCTGTCAGCTCTGGCCCTCCACACCTACCTGCCGGCAAGGAAGGCATCCGGCCCATGAGACAGCGCCTGCTCCAGAGCCCTGGGGCCTGGGCCCAGCCCCCAGGCTCCGGTGAAAGAAACGCCATTTTTCTGCGACTCGGTGTCAAGATGAGCCTTCCAGCACCAGCCTGATCAGCACAATGAGGGCAGACCTGCCTCCTCTTGCCTCCCCGCAGGCATGGGAACCACTGAGGCGAGCGCCCGGGGAAATCCAATTTGCACTCCGCCTGCAGTGATGCCGGGGGGCGGAGCCGTCCAGAGGCGGGGCGGGGACTGTTACCCTTATGTCCGCACGTCTCCACGAGAGGGCCAAGAGCCGGGCTCGGTGCGGAGGAGCCGCCAGAAACACGGTGGTACAGCCACCCCCACCCCCTCAGAGGCCCAGCCATCATGGCACTGGGGAGCCCTTGCCCCTCAAACAACCTGGGAACCATCTGCATCTGCTAGCCATCCGCATGGCGCCCAGGGCCTGGCCGGGGGGCACGGTAGGTGGGGCAGATGAGACCTAGGAACACCCACCGAGGTAAGACCTGTAGAAATCACGCTCGTGTGAGAAACGCTCGGTTCTCTCGTGGTGAGAGCAGTAGGACCCCAGCAGAGGCAGCCAGCCCTGGGCTCCGCAGCAGATGCTGTCCTGATCTCCCCACCACCTTGCCAGAAGGCATCAGGGCACCATTCATTCATTCACTCATTCATTCACAAAATGCATTGGTTGCCTGTGCGTGCTGTGGGTGCAAGCCGAGATCAAACCTACCGGCTCCCCCGCTGTGCGGACCTGCCCCCCAGGGGCGTGTGGACAGCAGTGGCCTGCATGTCAGGGAAAACGAGCTGAAGAGCAGAGGGAGGCCAGGCTCGCCCAGCGGGGGTCCCTCCTCCACGCACTGCAGGAGGAGACCAGGAGGCACAGGGAGGGGTGATGGCTACTTCATGCGTCCCTTCGACGGGTCCCTGGGCACCCAGGCCTGTCAAACATGCTTCTGGGTGCATCTGGGACCGTGTTTGGGATGAGGCGGGCGGGGTGGAGGGCCATCCGAGGTATCGGTGGCCTTGTCCAATTTGCGGGGGTCTGAACAGAATGGAAGTTGAGTGAGAAAGACCTCCGCCTCAGACTGCGGCATCCGTCTCCGGCCTTTGGATGCAGACACAGACCGAGTCCCATCGCCCTTCTCCGAGGGCAGATCTGGGGCTTCCTCGGGCCAATCCGTTATAGGCAGCCAGGCAGGCCCCTACCTTGACCAGTGATCAGTGACCAGTGACCCTAGTGCCCGACACAGGACCCTCCGGCCAGCCTTCCCTGTCCAGTGTCACTCTGGGTGACAGTGAGTGATGGACGAGAAGCGGTCCAAGCTCCGAGTGGCAGAGAGAACCACCGGTTGTCATGGCAACAGAAAATGACCGCGCGCCTCGTTAGAGCGCAAAGTGACATCATGCACACAGACAGACGGCCAGCGTTGTCCTCCCATGATGGGTGTCGTCAGGGCTGCCCTGGGCCCAGAAGCTAGGGTGCTGCCATTTGGAAGCCGGGGCGGGGTCCCCGTGACCTCTCCATCTGTCCAATCGAGAGCCAGGGGATATGGTTCCCCATCCTGCATCTCCTGGTGCCGAGCTGGCCCCCTGGCTTCCCAGCGCCTCCCCGTCAGCCAGGTGGGATGCAGCTGACACCGATGGAGGCCGGGCCGAGGAAAAGGCTGGCTTCACCCACGTGCAGGAGCTTTTCCAAAACCGGAAATACAGTGCTGGGGTTCACCCCCTCCTCGATGCTCTCATCCATTGCTATGGAGTCTTCTCCTAAGTAACACGGAACGCTGCACTTGACAAATCGTTGTGATGGCGCCGTGCCAGCTGTGCTCAGAGAATCTCTGAGTTCCCTAAACATTTACATCCTTCCCAGTGAGAGCCATATTTCACCTGTCATGGTGAAGTGTCAGGCTATCGCTTCAAAGGTAACCTCATTCTCTGGAACCGGGTGGAGACAGCGTGGACTGCGTGATTAGCTAATGCAGTAAGTGCTGGCGATGGGAGGGACCTGGCGCTGTTTCCATAGTAACAAGCAACTCTGACTTACAGGGAGGGGACTTGGGCGTCTGATCCAGAAGGTGCCGATCTCGAGGGCAGTGCCAAAAACACCGGCATCTGGGAGACCACTGCTGCACGCCACACCACCTCACCTGGTGGGCTCCTGTGTGTGGAGGGCCCAGCACCTGGAGCTCTCCGAGTCCCTGCCTGGGCCACTCCCACCACAGGGACCCGTGCATACAGGCCCCATTGCCGGAGGGTGTGCGTGCAGCTCAGAGATGCCCAGGTAGCCAGCCCCCAGGTGGACGCACAGGCCCACGGGCTCCCAGCCGGCCCCTCTGCAGGAGAGCCGAGCTGCTTTGAGCTAACACACCTGCAAAGCCTCTTTGCAGCCCCGGCGTCTCCCTTGAGCTCAGGGACCCTGTGCAGTGTTGTGGGAACCAAGGACCCTGGTGCCTCTGGCAGCCTCGTTTCTTATCGCTGCTGAGCTGCCTCCTGGGGACACAGGGGGCGGGAGGGCCGGATGGCAGTGGGGAGGAGGTCAGGGCGGTCAGTGCACTGGCGGGCAGCTACTGACCTGTCTCCCCTGCCCCCCAGGTGGGCATCGTGCTGCATTACTGCACGCTCTGCACCATGCTGTGGATTGCCGTGACCGCCAGGAACATCTACAAGCAGGTGACCAAGAAGGTCCCACCCTGCCCGGGCCCAGACCAGCCACCGTACTCCCAGCAGCCCCTGCTCAGGTACCCGAATACATTTATGTCCCTCCCCTCCCCCAGACTCCGGGTCCTTCCCCTGATGCTGGGATCTAAGCAAAGCGGCTCCCAAGGACACGTGTGGCCCTGGGAGGATGTGGCCGGGGTTTGGGGGTGCTCGGTTGGGGTGGGGGGCGTCCGGAGGAGGCAGGGAGCTGGGGCTAGAGCCTGGCCAGCAGGTCTGGGCCAGTGTGTCTGTCCAGTGTCGCTGAGCTCCATGCCGCGGGGGCCGTGGTCACAATGGGGTCAGTAGTGCCCTCCGTTACGCACGGGTCTCTGCGTTCAGAGACCTGCTCGTTAGCTGGGGAAACCAAGGCAGCTCGGTTGCTGAAACTGCTGGTTTCAGGGTGACTGCGCCCCGGCCCTTCCTCTGTAGCTCACTGGCTTTGAGCACGAGCTTTCTCCACGAAGACCTGTCACCAGTCTAGGCCAGTACTGTCCCAGGAGCCGTGGCGGGAAGCTGGGGGAGCGTGCGGTGAAGCTGCCAGAGTGAGACGGTGGTGGCGGGATAGCTCCGAAGTCCAGGGTGAAAGGCTTGTCTCAGGGCGTCCACAGACTGCGGGGGCCAGCGGTGCTCACCGCGGGGACCGACTCCGCGTTCTCCCACGGGAATGTCACCCCAGCCCACTTACTGATCAGACGCCCTCCCCCCGCGGCCGGAGACCAAGAGTCCCTGTGCCCAGGGCCAGCCCTGGCTCCTGTGCCACCCCGCGGTGACCCCGTGGCCAGCCAGCACGTACCCCGTGCTCCTCCTTCCTCCCACCTGCACGTCCCCACCCTGTGTGCCCAAGATCATTGTCGGGGCAGTCGTTGGAGTCTCATCAAGATGCAGATTCACTGGCTCTTTCTAGAAACTATCTCCTGACAGAAGGAGGAGGCTGCCCGACCCTACGGTCAGGTGGGCTCCTGGCTGGCCTGGGCGGAGACACAGGAGGGCATGAAGCCCGTGTCCTAACGAGTCTGAGCTCTGCTGGGAGCTGTGTTAGTGGGAACAAAACAGCAACCCCACGGAGATCCAAATGGGATCCAACGTCATATGAGCACAGAGAGGGGCTGTGACCGGGGGCCCCCAAGGCGGGTGCCAACATCACTGCAGAGGACGTGGCTGGAGCCAAGGGGCGCGTGAGGCTGGTGCAGAGGGGCCACCTCCACCAGGAAGCAATCACTGGCTGGGGCAGGGGGCTCTACACCTCTGACCACCCAGCAGCAGCAGCAAGAATAGCTGTCCACGCCGAAACCGGTTGTCTCAGTAGATAGAGCGTCGTCCTGCGGACTGAAGGTTCAATTCCGGGCTAGGGCATGTATCTTGGTTGTGGGCACATCCCCAGTAGGGGGTGTGCAGGAGGCAGCTGATTGATGATTCTCTCTCATCGATGTTTCTAACTCTCTATCCCTCTCTCTTCCTCTCTGTGAAAAAAAATCAATAAAATATTAATATATATAAAAAAATAAAAATTAAAAAGCTGCCCAGGCCTCCAGCGCCCTCTGCTGTCTGAGCCTGGGCTGCACCCAGGAGCTGTGCTCAGACCCTGTTCCCGAGGGCGCGGCTCCAGGGCTCAGAGTGACTTGAGCTGGAACACTCAGGGAAAAGGCAGAAAAGAGGCAAGAGAGGGCCTGGCCAGAGTGACAGGGGTCCTGAGCGCTTCACCCTGCAGGACGCACTACCAGGAAGGCGTGGGCCGCAGAGCATGTCAGCACCTCTCCCGCACCCAGGGCCACGCTGCCCGAGACGGGAGGGACTGGACCTGCCCAGCACTTGGCAGCCTCTACAGCTCCACTCACTGGAGAGCCTGTTGGTCCCACCGGGACAGTCTGCAGCCACCGGAAAGGGAGAGCATTCGACAGCAGTGGGCACATGGTCCCCCAGCTGGCCACAGCTTAGCAATGTCAGGGGGACATCTGTGGGCTGGCCTGGGCCACGGGGCCAATGAGATCACAGGCTGAGCAGAGTGAGCCCCTCCACCCTCTTGTCACTCGGTAATTTACTGTCAGAGATGTGGATGGGGAGAATGTCAGGGGATTTACATTCTTTTTTTTTTCTGAAATAGTCTTTATTTCTGAGCAGGGATTTACATTGTTAATGTCCTTGTCTGGTTTGGATACCAATCTCAGACTGCTTCAGGGGATACCCCAGCCCCTTGTTTCTGGAGGAGCCTACATAAGACCCGGTCGACCCTTCCTTAGGCATGACCCACGAGACCTGTTCGACGCCTGTGGATCTTGAAGTCGAACTTCCATTAGACCCAGAGTATTCAGGCTTTCTATTTCCTGTTTCCATTTTGGTGATTTGTTGGGTGTCATTGGGGTTTGTTTTTTTTCCCCCCCAAAGAATTTATCCATTTCATCTAAGTTGCTGAATCATGCATATACCCTTGGTGTCATATAGCGAGGCTCCTCTATTTAAGATGGAGTTTCATCCTGGTAAATCCATCATACGTTGAAAATATCGTTCAATCAAAAATGCATTTAACACACCTAACCTATGCGCATCACAGCTTCGCTTAGCCCACCGTACAGACGCTCAGAACACAATACCCCAAAACGCTGGCGGCACAGCGCACTGCTGGCAACAGGCTGGTACCTCCGTGATCACGCGGCTAACAGCAGCCTCCACTCACGCTGCACTCAACATCACAAGAGAGCCTCGTCCCACATATCCCCAGCCGGGGAAAGATCAGAAATTCACATTTCAAAGCACAGTTCCTGCTGCCTGCGTTTCCCTTTCACGGCATTGTAAAGTTGGGAAATTGTAAGTAGAACCATCCTAAGTCAGGACCATCCGCTCTCTGACTCCTTGGGTGCTTGTGGGATGGGGGATGGACACTGCAATTTGTTCTCTCTCTTTTCTTGATCAACCGACTCAGGCTATGTAGTTTTGTTCATGGTTTCAGGAAATCAACTCTACATTGGTAATTTTATTATAACTACTTTTGTCATTTGGTTTTTTTTGTTTGTTTGTTTGTTTTTTATTTTTTTGTGTGTTTTTTTTAAATATATTTTATTGATTTTGTACAGAGAGGAAGGGAGAGAGATAGAAAGCTAGAAACATCGATGAGAGAGAGTCATCGATCAGCTGCCTCTTGCACACCCCCTACTGGGGATATGCCTGCAACCAAGGTACATGCCCTTGACCGGAATCGAACCTGGGACCCTTCAGTCCCCAAGCCGACGCTCTATCCATTGAGTCAAACCAGTCTCGGCTGTTTGTTTTTTTTTTAATGGAGGTGTAACTGACATAAGATTAATAGTTTCAGATGTAGGACATCGTGTTCGTGTATATTGCGATCGCCACAACAGGTCTCGTTAACATCCATCACCCACAATTACTATTATACTTTTGTTCTTGTGAGCAGAATATTTAAGAGCCACTCTCTTAGCAACTTTCAGAGATACAGCATAGTATTACTATCATCATCGTGCTGTACATTACATGCAGGATTTTTTTTTTTCTTTATCTCTGCTCCTATCTTTATTCTCTCCTTCCTGCTCCTTTCCATTTACTTTGATTTTTTTATTTTTCTGCCTTGCTGAGGTGGAATCTTATGTCAATGAACTTTAGACCTTCCTTTTTTCTCACAGATGCAGTCGTAGCTATGAATGTTCCTCTGAATCCTTCTTTAACTGCACCCCAGAAACCTTATATTGTATTTTCTTCCTCATTCTGTTTAGAATCATTTCTAAATTCCCTTTTGATTTCTCCTTTGATCCATGAATTATTTAGAAGTGCATCCTTTCACTTCCAGATAGTTGTGATTTTCCTTACTGTTATTAATTCGCAACTTAATTTCATTGTGACCAGAGAATATACTCTGTATGCTTTCAATCCTTTTAAATTTATTGAGATGCGTTTCTTGATGTCATCTGTCATGATGAACAGACTATGTGCACTTAAAAAGAACAAATGTTATGTATTTATTGGTTGTAGAAAGAATAATTAGGGCTAAGTGAGTAATACTGTTGTTCAGATCTTGTTTCTTTACTGATTTTTTTTTATTTTTTTTTTACTACTTGTTCTCTCAATTGCTAAGGAAGGGGAGTTAAAATCATCAACTATGATTTTGGAGTTGTCTGTTTCTCCCTTTAATTTTGTCCATTTTGCTTCATGTAGTTTAAATCTTTTCCTAGGTACCCACACATTCATGGTTGCCATGACTTCCAATAAACTAACACTGACATCATTACAAAATGTCCCTCTTTATCTTATTTTTCTTAAACTCTGCTTTATCTGCTATTAATGTAACCACTCCAGCCTTCTGGGGTCACGGTTTGTGTGGGCTGCTTTTCTATCCATTAGCTTTCCATCTCTCTGTGCCTTTGTGTTTTAAATGCTTCTGTTGTAGACAGTAAATATTGTAGCTTGCTTTTTTGTTGCTATTAATCAGTTCTGGCGATCTCTGCCTTTGGAGTTTTTAGTCCATTAAAATTTAATGAAATTTTCATTTTGTTGGATTTAGATCTCCATTTCACTATTTGTTTTCTGTTTTGCTTTTGTTGTTGTTGTTGTTGTTAATCCTTACCAAATGATATATTTTCCATTTATTTTTAGACAGAGTGGAAGGGAGGGGGAGAGTCAGAAACATCAATATGAAACACATTGATTGGTTGCATCCCACACGGGGATCGAGCCTGCAACCAAGGTGTATGCCCCTGATCAAACAACACAGGACCCTTCAGTCCATGGGCCGAAGCTCCAACCACTGAGCCAAACCAGCTAGAGCGTTACTTCTTTTTTTTTCTTCTGTTCTTCCTTTCCTCTTCTATTTCCTTCTCTTGGATTATTTTAACATCTTTAAATTCTTTATTTTATCTCTTAGTGTTTTGCCTACTAATTTTTTTGTGCTCGATTCAGGGAGTTAAATCCACGGCCTCTTCACAGCCTGTTCAGTGTGAAAGTTCTGTTATTTCATGTAAACTGCATTAGAAACCTTGCAGTTGAATGGGGACCCTCTCCCCTCCCACCATCCTTAGGCTGGAGACGCCGTGTACACTGAGTGGCCAGATTATTATGATCTCTGAATGCGTAATAACCTGGCCACTCAGTATATTCATATATATATTAGAGGCCCGGTGCATGAATTTGTGCATGAGTGGGGTCCAGCCAGCCTGGCCAAGGGGAGGGGACATGGGCGGTTGGCCGGCCTGCCTGCTGGTCAAACTCCTGGTTGAGGGGACAATTTGCATGTTAGCCTTTTATTATATAGGATATACACTGAGTTGCTAGATTATTATGCGTTCAGAGATCATAATAATCTGGCCACTCGGTGTATATTACCCCTATGTACTTCATAAATGCCACAGCCATATGTGTTATATAGAAGTTAGGCGGAAACAAAATATTTTCTATTTACCTTACTATTTAGCATTTTTATGTTCTTGCTTCCTCCAAGTGTCCTTCGGGTACAATAACCCTTCAGCCTGAAGGCCTTCACTTAGCATTTCTTGAAGTCAGCTGGACACTTAGTTTTATTTTTATTACAATCTGTCTTTATTTCTCCTGGAGAAATAAAGGGTGTTTCTGGATATAGAATTCTAGGAGGCAAAGTCCCCAGGGGTCACCACACGTGACCAGAGGCGGGGTCATCCTGCTCCCACCCAAGGACCCAGGACCCGAGTCAGTCTCCTCCTTGGGGCCTGGCCAGAGCCAGCTCTGCAGGGCGCAGCAGCCAGCAAGCTGGGGGTGCGGGGAGTGGGCAGAGGAGAGGCCAGGCCCTGGCGATAGCCCCCTAGTCAGCAGGGCTGGTGCTGCCCCTGCCTGACAGCTGCTTGGCCAGGACCCCTGGGCCACACTCTCTCCTTTGCCCTGAAGGTGGTGCTGTCCTTGGGGGGGGGACCCAGTTGGGCTCAAAGGTCAGTGAGTGACCTCCTGCTCTCCGGCAGGTTCTACCTCGTCAGTGGAGGGGTTCCTTTCATCATCTGTGGAGTCACGGCTGCCACGAACATCAGGAATTACGGGACGGAGGGCGAGGACTCCGCCTAGTGAGTATGGCACCCAGGGGCTGAGGGAGGGAGGCCCTCGAGGCTCCCGTCGCCCTGGCTGCAGGTGCCCAGGGCAGCAGCGCCTCCTCTGATCACAGACACTCACAGACAACAGGCTGGAGCGGCTGGAAATGCCCACGGCCTTGCTGAGACCAGGCAGGGCAGAGGTCCTGGGCTGCCCAGCCTGTCCCCCGGTGCCCATGAGGCGACAGCACAAAGCCTGGTCACCCCAAAGCTGTCCTCCTCCCCAACGGACCCAGTTTCCCCGGGGGCCAAGGGCCGGTTCGTGGAGATGGGAGAGGCCCAGGGGACCGGTAACACCTGGGCAGCAGCCGAGGCCAGCAGAGTGGACCCAGCTGTGCACAGGAGCCGAGCCAGACTCCGCAGGCCCTCCCTACGCGTCCAGGCCAGGGCACCTCACTGACCCTCCCCACAGGACGCTGCCTCCCACCCCCCGCCCCACAGGCTTCAGGGTCCGGAACACCCCCCAACCTTGGCCCTCCAAAGCAGCCCGAGTGCACCAGGCTGGCCCTGGAGGGCGGGATGGGGCCCCCGTCCATCGCCTGACCCTGAGGCCTCCTGTTGGCAGTGCCCAGTAATGACTGCCACGGGCACCTCAGGTGCAGGCAGCACAGCCAGCTCTGGGCTCTCTCCCCACAGCCACCCCCTCCTGCCCCTGGGAAGGCCAGTCTCTCCCCCGTTCACAGCAGGGCCAGGCTGGGCTCGGGTCACTGCACAGCCCTCCGCGGGCCCTCGGGGTCCTGGAGCCGTCTCCCCCCACCCCCCCACGCCCTCACCAGCTCCTCCTCCTCCTGCTCTCCCCCCCGCAGCTGCTGGATGGCCTGGGAGCCCAGCCTGGGCGCGTTCTACGGGCCGGCGGCCTTCATCGCCCTGGTCACCTGCGTGTACTTCCTGGGCGCCTGCGTCCAGCTGCGGCGGCACCCGGAGCGCCGCTACGAGCTCAGGGAGCGGCCGGACGAGCAGCACCGGCTGGCGGGGCTGGAGGCCGGCGGCCACGGCGCCAGAGCCGCCCCAGGCACGGCGCCCGCCTGCGCCACCCTGGCCGCCTCGCTGCTGCAGAACGAGCACTCGCTCAAGGCCCAGCTGCGGGCCACGGCCTTCACGCTCTTCCTGTTCACGGCCACGTGGGCCTTCGGGGCCCTGGCCGTGTCCCAGGGCCCCTTCCTGGACATGGTGTTCAGCTGCCTGTACGGCGCCTTCTGCGTCACGCTGGGACTCTTCGTGCTCATCCACCACTGCGCCAAGCGGGACGACGTGTGGCACTGCTGGTGGTCCTGCTGCCCCTCCCGCCGGGACGCCCCGGCCTCCAAGCTCGGCGCCCACCACACGCTCGACGCCAACGGGGACGCCCTGGGGCACGCCGCCTGCCTGCAGGACTCGCCCTGCGCGGGCAAGCCCCGGGGCTACGGGCACCCGCCCGGCGGCCACTGCAAGATGACCAACCTGCAGGCCGCCCAGAGCCACGTGGGCTGCCTGTCGCCGGCCACGCCCTGCTGCGCCAAGATGCACTGCGAGCAGCTGCTGGAGGACCTGGGCCACGTCCACCTGCACGAGGAGGACGCGTTCGGCCATGACCTGCACCTGCACCGGTGCCTGCAGGGCAGAACTAAGCCCCCCTACTTCAGCCGGCGCCGGGCGGCCGAGCAGGAGTACGCCTACCACATCCCGTCCAGCCTGGACGGCAGCCCCCACAGCTCGCGCTCGGACAGCCCCGCCAGCTCGCTCGAGGGCCCGGCGGGGATGCACGCGCTGGCCTGCTGCGCCCAGGGCGACCCCTTCCCCCTGGTCAGCCAGCCCGAGGGCGGCAGCATCAGCCCCACGCTCTACGGCTGCGGCCCGCGGCCCGGCAGGGAGGGAGGCCGCGGCCCGGCCCACTTCGAGATGCTGCAGAGGACGCAGTCCCTGCCCTTCGGGGGCCCCGGCCAGAACGGGCTGCTCAAGGGCGACGTGTGCGAGGCCGTGCCTTACGGCGCCGACTGCACGGGCAACATCCGGACGGGGCCCTGGAAGAACGAGACGACGGTGTAGCCGCCGTGGCCCCCGCCCTGGGCAAGCGTCCGAGCGGAGCAGGGACCCCCCCCCCCACAGGAGGTCGGCGGGGTCACCAGGTGCGACGGAGCGACAGGCATCCTCGCTGGCCTCCGGTGATGAAGGACTCAAGGGGGAAGATGCTTCGGGCCACGTCGCCTCCCCGAACCCCGAGGTCAGACAGTCGCCCCATGTGGACCTGGAGCACCAGTCCCCGGGCAGCCTGGCCACGCCACAGGCAGAGGAACCGGCCCCCTCATGGGGCCTGCCCGCCGGTGATGGCCCCGGCAGGAGGCACACTGATCTTTCCCATGTTCCATGTGTGTGTTCAGTCCCGTCACGGGGCGGCGGCCTGCTGGTCAGCCCAGGGCGCTCTGGCCCTGGGCCCACGTGTGAGCTGACCCTGTGCCATCTCCACCGCCGCCCCCTTCCTGGACGCAGCACCAGCCCCGAGGGCCGAGGGCCCCACAGACGGGGGGCGCCCAGCTGTGCTCTGGGAGCACGTGGCCTTCAGGGGCGTGGAGGGGGTCCCCCGGCTCTGTTACATGCCCAGCTGTCCTTGAACCAATAGTCCCTTCCCAAGCCGGCCGCTGTCAGGCCTGGATCCAGCCCCACACGGGAGCTGGGGAGAAATAAAGTTCCCTGCCCCAACAAGAGAAGGAGCTGGCATTTCCATGGACGTCTGGGCACACAGCCCGGACTCCGAGGACAGAAGTGCCCCCTCCCGTGGCCGGGGTCAGTGGGTCCTTACAGAGGCAGAAGCCTGAACGCCCAGAGGATGTGATGTGTGTGAGACCATGCACAACTGCCACTTCCTTCCTCCCCTTGGAACTGTGACACATGTGCGCACACACACACATACACACACGTGTGTGTGTGCGCTGCACCACGTGTGTGCACATGCCACGTGTGTTCATCACATGTTCACCCATCCGTGTTCACCCACCAGGCCTGTGCACACATCACCACCAACGTGCACATGGCACATCATACACAGGCAGGGTAGCCGGGGGGTTGGCGCTCTGCACGGTATCAGGGTGCGACTCGCCCGCCTTCCCTCACACACACCGGGGGAGGCGAGGAGTGTGTCAGGTGCCCGGGCCCGCGCTCAGTGTCTGAGCCTGAGGAGCCTCACTCCGGGGTTCCCGACAGTGGAGGTGCAGCTTCCCGCGTGTCCGTACCACCACCGCCCCCGTGTCTCACCGGTCCACCAACAGGCAACCGATGGCCGCTGGGCGGGTCCCGTCTCCACCACCGTCTGCCTGTCCCCCTGCTTCCGTCGCCAACACGAACCGAGACCCGACGCTGTGCTGTGTACACACTGTAGATGCAGGCCCGTCAGGCGAAATACAGTGTTTCACATCGTTCGCCTTGGGTGAGGCTGGTTACTGGCATCCGTGTGCGTCTCTGACCTCGAGGGCGGCCACCTCCCTGCCAGGCCCTATCTGTGCCCTGTGCCTGGGGCGGGGCCGTCCTTCCCTGGCAGCCCCGACGGCATCCAGCACCTCCCACCTCAGCGGCCCTGGCTGAACGGAGAGCCCCTCATCGTTCCACCAAAGACGCTCGGCACCGAATAAACCGTGAGAGCTCCCGTGCCCACACGGCCTCCGGGGCCCGGCGAGCAGCCGTGCTGTGGCATGTCCCGCTGGCACGTGGTTCCCAGAGCACGGAAGTGCACCCCACGGCTGCAGCCAGGCGCTCCGTGTGCAGGGAGCCTCCACGAGGGTGGGGAGCGGGGGACAGCCAAGGCTGCCTGTAGCCTTACGTTCTGTGTCCCTTCCTCGCTCTGTGCACATGTGTGTGCATGCATGCACATGAATGGGTGGTGAGGGGTAAGAGTTATGTGTGTGTGAGCATGCAGTGTGTAAGAAACAAATGTACATGTGTGAATACCTGTATGCTGTATGCTTGCATGTTGAAAGCTGTGCCTATGTGTGAGTTCATGCATGTGTGCGTGTATTAGTGAGTGGGTGGGTGGGTGTGGTGTCTGAGTTGTATTGCGTGTATGCAGTAAGAGTGCCTGTGTGTGCATGCTAAAGGAGAGTGTGCATGTGTGTATGTGTGTGTGTGCTTGTGTACATGAGATGAGGGGGCGTGCATGTGTGTGCTCTCCAGAGAGTTAAAAGTCAAAGCTGAGTGCTCTGGCCATTCGGGGCAGGTGGAGCAGGAAGGGGCACAAGAGGGGCATCCCTCAGCCATGACCCACGCTGCTGCACACATCTCACAGTGAGTCAGGTTGCAGAGTGGTGACAGGACGAGTCCTCCACCCCAAGCTTCACGGTGCTGGCTCCTGGGGGCCAAGAGGGAGGGGGTGCCAGATGGGATGGTAGACATGCAGACACGTGTGACAGAAATAAACCATGTGAGGGACAGTCCTTCGAGGGCGCCAGGCAGCAGCCCCGCCAGGCTGCGGATCCAAAGGCGCTGCCTGATGTCACAGAGGTCACCACGGCAGTCCGAGGACCAGAAACCCCTGCGCACGGACAGGGATGGTGACAGGGAAGGTGCAGCAAGGGGGGCCTGTCCAGAGCCCCCCGGGTGATGGCACCCACAGTCCTCTACCGTCCCTGCTGCCTTCACGGCCACCAGCCGACAGGGGTCAGCCTTGTGGTGTCCTGCTCATGGCTCCCCTCACCAGGGTGTCCCAGGGAACTGCGGGCCGCTGCCATGTCCCCACTGTCCCCAGCATGGAACACATCCAGGGTAAGTAACATGTTCAAGTGTTCCATCTCAAACCGCATAAATGTCAACACCGTCTCTGCAGGAGCAGCAGGTGGCTCCGCTCACAGCTCAGCCACACCCACGTGGTGCCTTCTCCGGCCAGCCCTGGCTCCAGAGGGTCCCACTTCCTGTGGTCGGGACCCGTGTCCACGGCGACTCACCCCTCACCCCTGCGGGAACCCCGGAGTCCTGCAGAAGCTCCCTGGGTCCCAGGAAGGCCTCAGGAGCCGGCCGGAGCTCCAGCTCCCGGGCAGCAGCAGGTCAGTGGGCTACTGTCCTGGGTTCCCTCTCTGACTGGCTGTACTCAAGCCCTGGATCATGTAAAATGAGTTGAATGGTCATTAGAAACAAAACAAAAACAACAAAAATATAGTTTTAAAAAGGTATTTATTAAATATTCAACTTATTAAAACTTACATGTGTATTTGTTTCCAAAAAGTATGGTGGGGACCCTGGCCGGGTGGCTCAGTTGGCTGCAGCATCGTCCCATATACAGAAGGTTGCGGGCTCAATCCTGGTCAGGGTGCACACCTAAGGGGTGGATTTGATCCCCAGTGAGGGCACATACGGGAGACAAAGGATAATGTTTCTCTCACATTGGTCTTTCTCTTCCTCTCTCTCTCTTCCACTCTCCCCATCTCTCTTTCTCTCTCCCCTATTCTCTGTCTCTAAAATCGATTAAAAACAAAAAGCAGGGAATAAGGACACATATGTAGTAAATAAATTTTTTAAAAAATACAATATTCTCAAGTAAGGATTTTTTTTTTAACTATGCTGCGGGGTCTATAGAAAATTTCAAGCATAAAAATATGTCCCAATAGAATAAAATTCTGGGCAAAAATGGATGATTATAATGAGTTTAATGGAAACCGTCATGATGAGGATTTCTGCCTATTAAAGAAAAAATGTTTCTATGTTTTCTGCAAATGGTAGATGGTGGGTACCAAAGCCACTTTGGTATTTAGCTTCTTGGATACATTTAGGAGAGTGACTAACAGCTTTATTCCAAAGTGTCAATATTGACACCACACCAGATATGACATTCATTGCAGTCATTTACATTTTTTAAAATTTGGGCGTTGGCTTCAGAATGTGCGCGGGTTTTGACAGCTCTTCACATTGTTTTAGGGAAAATGAGAGCCGAGGCATTGAAGCCCCCGCTCCACTGGCCTCACATCACCTGGCCACGCGGAGCACCACATGCGTACCCTGAAACAGGAGGGAGCCCCCATCTGTGGAGAGATGGAGCTTGACGGAGAACAAGACCAAGTCCTGACAGTGTCCGGTGTGGCAAGGGGCAGAGACCAGCCTGGAGCAGGCTTTGCAGGACACCCCATCTGTGGGGCAGGGGCTACTCCTGTCCTGGGCACCAACCAGGAGGCAGGTCGGTGGGAGAGCGGGGCGGGCCAGGCCCTGCAGCGGAGGCAGACGTGGCCACGCAGAGGGAGGGTCCCACAGCAGAGAGGGGGTGGGCAGAGAATGAGCAGACGGGTCAGCGGAGACCAGTAAGAAGGCTGGGCAGCACCTGTCATGGCCTGGGAGCCCTGCAGGGTGCAGGTAGCACCGGAGAGAAGCGTCAGGAAGAAGGTGTGTGGCCAGGCGTGTCCTGTGCGCCCAGGCTCGGTGCAGAGGTGGGTACAAAGCCGGGGGGCCATTCCAGCGGTCCGAGTACCAGACTGTGTGGCCCTGTGTGGAACCGAGCTTGCAATGGCCTTTCGGTGGACAGCCGGGGCTGCCTGCCGGTGTCCCAGCGGCTCTGGGACGATGCAAGTGCCTCATCTACATGCCTCCGACCTCAGGAATCAGGCCCTCATTCAGCGTGAATCGACCATCTCCTACGTTCGAGGCCCCAGGCCCCAGGGCCCCTTCCCTGGAGAGAAGCAAGCAGGTGGGCAAACACTCACAAAGACGACCAACTTCCAGAAGTTTCTCATCGCTCCACACACAGGAAGACCATGACCACACACTCTGAAACGAAAGCAGGCGGGTGGATAGGAGGAGCTGCAGGGCGCCCTGCCCCACACCCCTCCCCGCAGCCCGTGTGCCCTGGTCCCTGGTCACTGAGCAGCGGTCCGCTGAGTGCTTTAGGCCGCTATAGCCAGAGCGGACTCAGCTGACATCAGCAGCCATTTGTTCCTCATGTTACCCGAAGTGGATGCCTCTTTTCCGAGGAGCATAGATGATGTCACTGCTCCCACTTGCCCTGTCCCGTTCAGCCCTCACCCTATGCCCTGGGCCGGCTGCCTGAGAACCAGGTGACGAAGCCCATGCCCCGCTCCGGGAGGGCCCTGCAGCACAACCTTTGTGCCTGAGGCGCCCCCACAGGGCCACATCCAGGCTCCACCAGCTCTCCATCAGCCCCCGAGCCCTGCAGCAGAGGGACCCTGCAGCCAGGGCTCTCAGCTCTGCAGGCCCAGGGTCCAAGGATGGGGGTGCGGCTGGAGCCCCAGAGTCCTGCAGCGCAGCCTGCCTGCCACTCTCGGCCTCCTTCCGAGACCCCGTGTGGTGTCCGCAGAGAGCTCAGGGGCAGGAGGCCCAAGTCGCGCATCGGTGAGATGCTTTTTCTCCAATTCCTGCTGCCTCTACTCCATCCCACTCCCCCTGGCTGCTGCTTTGAGCTTCCACATACCCCAGGATGGAGGAGACCGCCCCTGGTCTCTGCCCCCATGGAGCCGGGTGGGCCTCAGGACCAGCACTTGGCACAAGGTAAGGCTGCCCAGCACCCATCTCGGCCACCAGCCTCGGGCTTCACTGCCCACCTATTTATTCCTCCGTGTTTGGGGAGCCCCTCACACCCTTGGGTGTCATGTCCCAGGGCCCGGGGCCACAGCGATCTGATCCAAAGGCAGGACATTAGGAACTAACCTCCCTGCCCATTGTACCCTCGGCCTTTGGGAAAACCTGTCACAAGCCCTGCCTCGTTCCCACAAGGAGCATTAATGCAGCGCCTGCTGTGTGCCCGGCCAGGCCAGGCTGTAGGGACAGGGCTGGCCACATGGGGGAGCTCTCCTGCGGGAGACCTCCCCACAGCTCTGCTCTCTAAGGGGCTGGGGTAGGAGGCACCCCTGTCACCCAGGATGGTGAGGTTACCATCCATCCTCTGTGCAAAATGTGGGTGGGGGTACCCTGGCTCTTTGTCAGGCTGGGTAGTGGGATGGGGGGAGGGGGGAGGGAAACCTGGTTCTTTGCCCAACTACAGCCCCAGCTTGGGGCAAGGCTCACCTATGAGGACCCTAAGGTGCAGCCTGCAGGATGCCCAAAGGGGAGGGACTGTCTGGCCTTTGGCTTCTGTTCCACTGGTTGGCTGTAAAGCTGTAAACTGCTGGTCCCCCCATGGCGTCCGTGGGACCCTAATTCCAGCGATGGGGACTGGCCACCCTCCAGCCGCTGGGCCGGGTCCCTGCCAACCCCGTCCCGCCGGCCTGCGCACCTCTGCGGCCGCCACCCCAGCGGAGACTGCGGCAGCCCCGGCCCGGGCCGGCGGGGACGGGACCAGGGGTCCGGCGGAGGGTCCACGGAGGGTCGGGGACCCACCCAGCGCGGTCCTCGGGGTGCGCCCGGCCCTCGCCCCGCCTGGGCTCCGGCGGGCGCGGACCCCGGGCGGCCTGCGGCGCCTCCGGGAACAAATCGGCGGCCGCAGGCTCGGCCCCGCCCCCAAACGTCCGCGGTCCCTCCCGCCGGCACCCCCGCCCGCCGAGCAGCCACACGCCCCCATCGCCCCCCAGAAAATAACCGGCCAACCGACGTCCGCCGGAGAGCCCGGCCCCGGCGAAGCGCGCGGCGCTGCGAGTGCGGGGACCCCCGGTGCGGCCCCCCGAACCTCCCCCCGGGCCGGCGACACTGCGGCAGCCGCGGGCGGGGCGGCGGCGCGGGCAGGGGCGGCGGCGCGGGCGCGGGCGCGGGGCGCGTTGCCATGGCTCCGGGGCGCGCCTAGCGGACCCGCTCCCGGAGCCGGAGCCGGCGGACCGGGCCCGGGGGCCGGGGCGGGGCGGGGCGGGCCGGGCGCTGCCGGGCGGGCGCGGAGCGAGCGCGGAGGCCAGCCGGGCCGAGGCCGCAGCGGCGCCGGCGCGCTCGCAGGATGCAGGCCATGGAGCCGGCCGCGGCGGATTTCTACGAAGTGGACGGCAAGGATCTGGACTTCTACGACTTCGAGCCGCTCCCCACGCTGCCGGAGGACGAGGTGAGACCCCAGCCCCACGGCGGGACCCCCTCCCACCCTGCACACCTTTCCTGGCGGAGGGTTCCGCCCAGTGTCTCCAGGGAAGGTCCCTCCCACTCCCCAGGCCCCTGCGCTGGGGCTAGGGGGATCCCCAGCTGGTCTCCATGCCCCCCACCGCCCCTAAGCATTTCCTCCCGGAGCGGACAGGTCCCCTGGATGCCGCATGGGACGGCCACAGGGGGGCTGTGGCTGGAGGTGATGCTGTGGGTGGTGGGCTCTGATGGGCAGGGATGGGCAGGGGCGTGGGGGGGCCTGTAGCGGGTAGAACTCTGTTCCTAGGAGGTCAGGGAGGTGCGGGCAGAGCCCACTCTGGCCGGACTGTTGAGGAGCTGGGGGGTGGGGGGGGGCGGCAGGCGGGGGGAGTGGTCACGACTCAGGGCTGCTTCTTGCTCCCAGAGAACAGGGCCCTCGCTCAGGTCCCCCAGTGAGCCCCCCCCCCCCCAGGCGCACAGGGGTCTCTGCCACAGGAGATTCCTGGCCGTTAACTGAGTCAGATGCCCACCGAGCCAGGCTGCCTGTGACCGAGGCAAGCAAGCCACCCCCCCCCTGGCTGGGGCTTGTCCCTGTGGCCCTGGCTTCCCCTTAGTGTCTGTCCCACAGGCTCTGGGGCAAAGGAATGAACGGCTCAACAAGCCAGGCCCCCCTGCATGAGGGGGGACCCCAGAGGACCCCGCTGCTCCCAGAGAGACTCTTGTCTCCCAAGGCTGTGGGGCCTGGCTCAGGGCCTTCCGAGCCTCCAGCAGGCAAATGCCCGGATCCCTGGCGTCCCTGCTCACTGCTGAGGGCCGGCGCCATGCAGCCGGGAGTCAGACGCCGTCCCCCCCCAGGGCGGGTGCTGACGGAGACCCTCCACACGCCTGTCGGGGTGAATCGGGCTGGCTGGTGCCTCCCGGAGGAGGGAAGGGATCCGGCCCATCCCCTGGGGCCTTCCCCACGTGGCCACCCCAGCCCCAGCCCCAGGAGCGCAGGCTGGAGCTCAGTCCTTCTTTCCGGGCAGCAGTCTGCCTCGGGAAGCCGCTGGCGCTCAGGGGGGGCCCCTGAGCCAGAGCCCGGGGGGGGGGTGCTCCCCCCCCCAGCCTCCCCGTGGTGACCTGGATTTGGTGAGAGAAGCCGCAGAGAAGAGAGGCCGGTAATAAATAACCCTTTGGACATCTCCGCGGCTTTGATGGGGGAAGAAAGGGTGCCTCCTGGCCCAGCCTTCACAGAGGACGCGTTCAAGAGCATCTGTGAGAAGACTCACCCCCAAACCGCCACGGAAGACAGAACAAGCCGCCCACACGCCTCCCACACGCGGCCCGCCTCCTCCGTGGCCGGGCACCAAGCAGGCCTGGGGCCAAGTGAACAGGACGAGAGGCGGGACTGGACCCAAAGCCACCACCCTGCCACCGTTCGTCCTCCCACCGCATCCTGACACCTTCTCTCAGGAGGTGCCCGTGGCGCCCCTCTGGGCACAGGGCATGGGGTCGGGGGTCCCCACCGTCCTGGGACAAGGCCTCCAGGTGACCAGGGTGCACAGTGGTCCCACTCCTGAGCATCCAGCAGGAATGTCCGGGGCTCTTCAGACTTCCCGCCCCGCAGAAGAGACAGGCGCTGCCCCAGGTGTGTGCCCCTCAGAGCAGGAGGCCGGGCCCAGAGCAGGCCTCACCGGTCCCCGGACACACCCGCTCCAGACCGCACACCACACCCCCTCAGCGTGGTCGGTGCTGAAGATCTGGCATCTACCTCAGGGACATGTGACACTGCCTGCTGCGGCAATACCTAGTCAGGTGGCACCCGGAGAGCCTTCTTGGGCGAGGGGAGGGAGGAGCCAGGCTGAATGTCACCTGGGCGGGCTTGCCGAAGGAGCCTGGAGACCCAGACAAGGACAGGGGCCGCCCCAGGGAGGGACGGCGGCCACCAGGCCCAGGTCATCAGCAAACCTCAGGAGACACAGGAGGTGGCCACTCACAGTAACTGACCGGACAGGGAGGTCCTGTTCGAGAACTAGAACCCCACGGGGCCCCGGGAGCCCTGGAGTGTGCCTCCCCAGGGCCGCCCGAGAAAACCCAAACAGCCCGCGAACACGAGAAAAGGGGCTTGGCTTTCTTATAGGAGGGGATGGGAGATACTCCCACTGTGAATTCCCACCCAGGCTGGCGAGGCCCAAAATGTGGACAGCAGCCCTCCCGCCCTCCGGGGGGGTTGGGGGGCGGGGGGGAGAAAGGTCTAGGGAAAGCAGCTTGGCATTCCGTGTGGAACGGAGATGCCACAGCCCGTGTCCAGCAGTTCCACGCTGGCATGTGCCCCGGGGGTGCCAGCGGGTGGGAGAGCTCTGCTGGAAGCCCCCAAGGCACCTGGTGAGGGGCTGGCACCACCCACAGCGCCCTGGAGGCTGCAGCCCGCCCCACTGGTCCCTGGTCTCCCACAGGCAGCACCCCGGACAAGCGAAGGACAGGGTATTGGGATCAGGCAGGACGGTGGCTGCAGGAGAGGCCATGGAGAGGCAGGTGGTGCCACTGCCTGCCAGGGGCGATGGGGCGGCAAGAACGAAAGCAGGCTTGGACAGGAAGACGGCGCACCAGTTTAGGCATTGGGGGAGGGGGGGGGGGGGCAGGGTGTCTCCTGGTCCCCAGACCCCCTTGAGGAGTAAGGAGCATTCTTACCCCTGCCCGGTTCAGCAAGAGCCTGCCAGCATCTGTGGGCTGAGTCCTGGGCTCGGGGACCTTTTTGCTGCCAGAGGCGCACACAGCTGGGGGCGCCCTAGAAAGGAGTGACGTTCCCACTGTGCCCCAGAGGGTCCATGTGACATCGGGGAGGAAATGAGCTCAGAGCAGCAGGCAGCTGGAGAACCCCGGAGAGCTTCCAGGGAGGTGAGAGTTGGGGGGGGGGGGGGGGGCTCTAGGGCAAATAGACATACCCCCAGCAGGGCACCGTGCAGAGCGCCCCCCGCCTGGGGGTCTGGCAGCTGAAGGGACTGCGGCGGGCCTGGGGGTTGTTGACAGAACTCCGAAGTGACGGGGCTTTGTGTGGGCAGGCCCCGTCCCAAGGTTAAAGAAGTAATTGGTTCTAGGAGAGTGCACCTGGGCCCCCATGGAGCCCTGGCTCACTGTCTGTGACTGGGTCCATGGCCCCTTTAAGACCAGAAGCCCCTGAACGGGCACTTTGCTGCAACCAGACAGTGGCCCCGGGTGGAAGCCAGCCCTGCCCAGGGCCCCAGGGACCAGCCGGGGAAGGGCTGCCCTGGGGACCGCCTGCCCAGGGGCTCCCCTGCACCTGCCTCCTGCACCCCCCCCCCCCAGCTGGGCGGGGCTGACTTTGTGTCTGCACAGCCACGGGGTGGAGACCTGCCCTGCAGGGAACAGGACTCAGGTGGTCCTGCCCCCACACTTACCCCAGGGCCCACTCAAGCGCTGCCTTGCTGAGGGATGGTGAGGGGTGAGGCGCGAGGCCCCGCGGAGCCCCCGGATCGGGACCCTCAGCATGTGGGAGACCTCCTCTCGGGAGCCAGCCGCGTCCCTGGGCTCTGGCCTGGCCTGTGCCTCGGCCGTCCCCGCTTCCTGTTGCAACCACAGAGCTTCGGGGGGACTCAGCCATGCGGACTCAATGACTCAGACCCATGGGTGTCACTTCATAAAATCACGCCGAGACGCCCCGATTAGATGCTCCTGCCATGAATAGGGGCAGGGGCCACAGGGCAGGGGGTGGGCAGGGCCTGGACCTGAGCAGGAGGTTGACCAGGAGCCCCCGTGGGCACAACCAGCCTGGGATCCCCCTCTTGGCAGCACACCCAGGCACCAGCTGTGTGAGCAGTTGGGCCTGCGGGCCACATGGGCACACCAGTGGGCGTGCACAGGGCCCTGTGCAGGGCCGGCCTCATGCTCCTAAAGCACAAACCCATGAGGCCTTTGGGTAGTGTATTAGTGTGTGGACACATGTATGCGAGCGAGTGCACATGTCTGGGGGAGTGCTCTGTGTATTTGTATATACTGGAATATATGTGTGTGTTTGGGTCTGCAGGTGTGTGTGTGTTATGTGTGCGCTTTGTGGGTGTGCTTGCATGTGTGTACAGGTGTGCGCGTACATTTGTGTTGGGAGTGGGTATGCAGGTATGTGTGCATATGTGTGTCGGCATGTGTGTTCTGGGTGGTGTGGTATCATGTGTGAGCACTGTGTGTGCACGCACACGTATGCACGCATGTGTGCATATATGTTGTGCACTGTGTATACATGTGCATGTATGTGTGCGGAGTGCAGGTATGAGTGCACGTGTTGCGCTAAATCAGAAAGACCTGTTAGCAGTGAGCCTCAGGGACACAGCAGGTGGAGGTGGGAGCTGGGGTTTGGGGGCTCCCCCTGCACTGCCCCACTCTAACCGCTCTGCCTTTGTCCTGGTCTGTCCTTTTAAACACCTTCGCACAAGGATACTTTTCTGGATCCCGGCTGGGTTCTTGGCTCTTGGAGCGCTGGGCCCCTGTGGCCACTTCTTGAACCAGCTCCCACAAGTCTCCCTCCCTTACCCACCCCCACCCAGCCCCACAGAAAGAGCGGGAGTTCCTGGGGAGGGGCGCCATCGGGCCCTCACCCAGCCCGGAGGAGGAAGCAGATGGTGGCCACCCCCAGCCCTGGTCCCCACTCACACCACCCCCTGCCAAGCCCAGAGGCTGAGCCAAGATGCCCGTGAGTCGCTGCCTGGTTCTCTGTCCTCCTTCCTCTGGTTAAGCCCTTGGTCCTCTTGCCCTGGTCTGGGGTCCTTGCAGTGCAAGAGAGGAAGCTCAAGGTCAGGGGTGTGAGACGCTTTCTAGGACCTGACAGCCCGTCTGGGCCTGAAGAGCAGTCCTGTGAGGTCCCCAGGGCTCGGGGGCGGGAGGGGGGCTGCTCTGAGTCTGTAGATAGACTTGGCCTCTCTTCTGCACCATCCCCCAGCCCAACCCCCCTCCTTCCTCCTCAGAGGCCGGTGACTTGACCCTTTCTGGCCTCACCACACAGTTCCCAGCCTGGTCCCTCATCCACCCTCCCTTCTGGAGTCCAGGGGGTGCACAGACACAGGGACGCACAGATGACAGGGTGTCAAACGGAAGAGCAGAGAAGTTTCCTTAAGGTCCAAGGAGGATGTGTGTGAGAGACTGTGTGTGTGTTTGTGCATGCACGTGAATGCAGGTGTTGGTATATGTCCGTGTGTGTGTGTGTGTACACACTGAGGGGCACTGTGTGCGCGTGGCTGTGTGTTAGGTGTGTGTGGGCATGTGAGTGTTGGTGACACAATCACAGCTGAGCTCTTACAAGGGTCAGAGGAAACCACTCAGATCTGGAGGGTGACCCTCACGGGGAGGCCCAGGGTCAGGCTCTGTCCTGCATGGGAGCTGCCTGGAGCAAATGTCCGGCCACTCCACAGCCAGCAGGCCATGTGCGGGCTGGGGCGTGCCCCATGGCTGTGCGGTGGGACCACGCAGAGCAGCCCTGTGAATGGTTCTGGGTGTGCAGCTGCCGCTTCCTGGGCATCCACTCCACTCCCTGTTCCAGCATCTCGCTCCTCTGCTCAGCACCTGCGTGTCCCCGCGCTGTGTGTGCTGAGCTGTGGGTCAGGGACGTCTTGACAAGTGGGTGACCCGGCTCGGGGCCGCAGGGACCAAGGCACAGGCGCCGGCCACAGGCGTGAACGCCTGCCCCCAGCGGCACCTGAGCATCGTGCTGAACGCTCTGTGCCTCTGACAGCCAGGAGCCGTGCGGCGGCTTCTGTGCGGTTGTGGTTTTGTTAAAAAAAAAAAAAAAGCCTTGCCTCAAACCTCCTCCCTGGCGCCGAACGAAACCGCCGCACGCTGTCTGCCTCCCCAGACTTAGTCGCGGCGCTGGGGGCCCCCTGGGGAGGAGGGCCCGTGCCCACACCGGTGCCAGCGAGGCTGTGTTGGCAGGAGAACGTGTCCCTGGCCGACATCCTGTCCCTGCGGGACAGCGGCCTCAGCGAGCAGGAGGCCTGGGCCGTGTGCCTGGAGTGCAGCCTGTCCATGAGGAGCGTCGCGCACTCGGCCATCTTCCAGACGCTCTGCATCACGCCCGACACCCTGGCCTTCAACACCAGCGGCAACGTGTGCTTCATGGAGCAGCTCAGCGGTGAGGCCCCTCCCCGGGCGGGACAGTCACACAGCCCCGGCGTCCTGATGGGATCTCTAGCCCCGTCTGTTCTGGCCCTATTAGTGGGTGCTGGTCTCTGCAGCCCGGTCACACGGCCCTCACTGGGCCAGGGAGGGCCCGCTGCCCTGACCACAGGGAGGACAGGCCTGGCGCCTCCGCCGGCCCCTGGGGTGCCCCTGGCCCCGCAGTGAATGGGGTTCAGGGCCTCCTCCACCCCAGGGAGGACCCGAGTGGAGGGGCCTGGTGCTTCGGCTCTCTCTGGGGAGTCAGCACCTCTTCTTCCTCTTTGGAGCCACGTTCCCTCCCTTGCAGGGAAGGAGGTGGCTTCCCTCCCCTCGGGGACAGGAAGCAGAATCCCCCTCTGGAGAGTGCAGGCCGGGGTCCGCTCCGCACCCAGAGCCTCCTCCTCGCGGATGTGTGATCACAGCACCTTCTCTCTCTTTCCCCAGATGACCCCGAGGGGGCCTTTGTGCCCCCAGAGTTCGATGTGACTGGGAACACCTTTGAGGTAAGTGGCCTTGAGGGGCGGGCGTGTGGTTAGCAGGGAAGGGCGTCAGCGGGCCTGTGCCCAGGGTGCCCGTGAGGAGTCTGTGGGCACGCCCCCCCCTCCCCAGTCACTCAGCAGGCAGCTCGGCTCCAGTGACAGCCTGGTTGTCATTACGGCTGCATGTTCTCTAAAGTGTGAATCTTCTGTATTTAACACGTTAAACGTGCCTGCGATTACCAGTGGCGGCTGGCGTGTCTCTGAGGATCCGCGGCCTCTGGATAGTAATCCACGTGTTAGGCAGCCACACCCACTCCCTCCGGCTGCGGCCACCAGGCCTCCGGGAGGCCCCCTCAGCGGAGTGGACCCTGGAGCCCCTAAGCACACAGGCACGAGCCTCCCTCTGCACACGACCCTGCAGCGTGATGGGGACATCCCCCATCCGTCTGTCCGCCCCGCCCTGTCTGTCCACCGTGCGCCATGCTGGGCTCCGGCCCAGGTGCCGGACGGCCCCAGAAGCCATTGGCCATGGTTTCTTTCTTCATGGCACCCTCTCCTAAGACGGTGGTGCAGGAAACTGGACCCATCGTTAAAAAAGAAACCAGGAATTACAGACTCAAGAATCTTCCCAAAGTCCATTAGCTTTGTGACATGAGTTTCAATGTTCACCCCAAATGAGAGTCTGGGATTGGCCCCTCCTGTGCTTCATTTCACCTTAAAACAAGCCAGTTTCGGGCCCCTTGCGTCCCGGCTGTGTGCGTCCCGGCTCCATGGACCACAGGACCCGGGCCCCTGGTCTCGGTGGACCCTACTGTCCAGTCTTAGGGGTTTTTGGACCTCATGGGTCAGAACCTTCCTTGGAACCTTTGGTGTGTACAGTTCCCATTCCTGGTCCATGTGTGGACTGCTTTATTTATTTATTTGTTTGTTTGTTTATTTATTTATTTTAGATTGTCAGGGTGTTTTTTTTTTAATTTCTTTATTGATTAAAGTATTGCATATGTGTCCTCATCTCACCATTACCTTTCAACCCCCCCCCACACACACTCAGGCCCTCACCCCCTATTGTCTGAGCCCATTGGTTAGGCTTATGTGCATGCATACAAGTCCTTTGGTTGGCTGCTTTATTTTTTTTAATTGTACTTTTGGGAAGGGAGCCGGGCTTCCCCAAAAGCAGTTCTGTCCTCGCCCCCACCCACGGTGACCATCCCTCTGCCTCCTTCTGTCCTCGTCTCACAAGTACGGATTCCTGAAATCCAAGTTATTCCACTTTATCAAACCTCATCGCGCTGCGTGGATGTTGTGGAACTTCCTTTTATTAATATGTTTTTTCTGAGGCTCATTCGCGTGGTCCTGGGCGAGACACACAGCAAATCCTCCGCTCTCGGAGCCCGAGGCAGTCATCTGGGTCTGGCCCCAGAGGGGGTGCGACCGTGGACCAGAGTGGGCTCCAGTCAGGAGGAGGGGCTGGGCTGGGGAAGGGAGCACTGGGCAGGGCGGCAGGGAGCTTGGCCTTGGTCAGGGCCCCAGCCTCCACTGTGTGGGGGGTTTGACTACCTTCCAGAGCCAGCCGGCCCAGGCCCTCACCTGCCCGTCCTGCCCTAGCTGTGTGGTCCCAGGAAGTTTCTGAACCTTTCGGGGCTCAGCCTCCTGTTGGTAAAGCCCCACAGGCATTGTTGGGGGATAATGCCTAGCCATGATGGGGCCTGTCCCAGCGTGCTCCGGCTGGAAAGCCCACACTCTCACGAAGGCAGATAGAAAACCCTAACGTTCAAACTAAGGGAACGCGTCTTCACTCTGGCTCATACATGATTTTTAAAGAATAAACCCCAGCCCTAGCCAATTTGGCTCAGTGGATAGAGCATTGGCCTGCGAACTGAAAGGTCCCATGTTCGATTCCGGTCAAGGGCACATGCCCAGGTTGTGGGTTTGGTCCCCAGTGAGGGACTTACAGGAGGCAGCCGATCCACCATCATGCTCTCTCATCATGGATGTTTCTATCTCTCTCTCCCTCTTCCTTCCTCTCTAAATCAATAAAAATTAAAAAAAAATAAAAAGAATAAACCCCAAAAAAGAAAAGTCTCTGCTCTTCAGAGACACAGCAGCCATCAGGGGAGGAGATCCGGGTGCCTGTGTCCGGGAGGGGTCCAGAGTTGCTGGCTGGTACAGCGGGGCTAGTGTAGACTCCAGACCCAAGACACTGGGGTGCATGGCTCAGCACCAGGACAGTCCACAGCTGGGGAGGTGGCTGTAAAGAGCATTAGGGTCCCCAACACATGTTCCTGGCCGGGGAGCAGTGGCACACAGCCCGGTGGCGCTGATGGCTCTTTGGTGCCACAGGCGCACATCTACTCCCTGGGGGCCACGCTGAAGGCTGCCCTCGAGTACGTGGCAGAGCCGGAGCCGGAGCCCAGGCTGAGCCGAGACCTGGAGGCGCTGCTGGACCGGATGCAGGCAGAGGACCCTGGAGACCGGCCCAATCTCGAGGTACCTCTTGGACCACCTCCCCATTTCACCCCAGAGGCTGAGCCCCAACACCCTCCACGCAGCCTGATGGCTTGGAGCCACATGCATGCACACTCACAAATCCCAACATGCACACTCTTGCATGCTACACACACACAAGGCCTTCCTGTCTGCCCCCGCCCTGCCCCATCACTCAGGCTCCTTTCCATTGCACTTAGTTTAAATAAGAACTTGGTTTTCTGCCTTGGCCTGTATGGCTTGGTTGGAGTGTGGACCCATACACTGAAAGGTGGTGGGTTCGATTCCTGGTCAGGGCACATACCCGGGTTGCGGGTTCGATCCCCAGCCGTAGCCTGTATGAGAGGCAATGAATCAGTATTTCTCACATCGATACCGCCCCCCATCCTCTCTAAAATCACCCCTGACTCCCGTACGTGTGCCCAGAGCATCATCGCGCTGTGCGAGGAGAAGATGCAGCTCACGTCCTCCTGCCGCCTGTGCCGCAACCTCTCGGCTGTCGGGAGGAGGGTGCTCTCCCTCGAGTCCTTCGGAACCTTCCAAGGTGAGCAAGCTACACTCACCCAGGCATGTGCCTGCGTACACACATGTTCCCAGGCATGAGTATGTCCACTCTCATATGCACATGTGAATATGCACAAACATTGGCACGGGCCTCACACACCCACACAGTGTACTCACACACCACATAAACACCCACTCACATGCTCACACACTCAGTCACACACATAAACATACACATGTGCAAACTCCTACGCACCCATTTATAATGCACAAGCATTGCACACCCACTATGTATACAAATGCGCGCGCACACACACACACACACACACACACACACACACACACACGGGACAGACTCACGCTGTGCAGACATCATGCTGTTAGAGGTGAGAGCCAAGGTCATGTTGAGAAGAGGCTGGGCTCGGAGCTGGACACTGGGCCGGTCCCAGGGGCATTCGGCACAGATAGGGCGAGAGCCTCGCCATCCCCACACTGCGCCGTATCGGAGGCGCATCACTCCGCCGTGCCGGCTGCTGCCGCGGGGCCAAGTTTCCACGGCTCATGTGGGGTGCCAGTCTCAGATGGCGTTTTGAACAAACGCCAGCGTCAGCTCTGCCCGGTGCCTGCTGAGGAGGGGCCGTGGGGTCCTCCGGTGACGCTGCTGGTGACGCCGCGGCACCAGGCCGCGCTGCGTGGCTGTCGGAGCCGCGGGAGGAGTCCCCGCGGGAGGGGGCGTGTCTGGCGGTTTGCGGGGAGACGCATGCGTGGAGGCCAGGCCGGGGCGGGCGGGGCGCGGCCACAGCCTTTCTTCCCCTGGAGACTCTCACTTTGTTCTCCTAATGGAACACGATGTGCTTTTCGGATGAGATAATTAAGGCGGGGCTTAGCAGCCCCCTATGGGCAGCTGGCCTGGCCCAGGGGAGCGGGCAGCCGGTTAATTAGCCAGGATTAATTAGCCAGGATTAGGTGATTAACGAGGCTGCGAGGATGTTGCCCGGCTGCTGAGGGAAGAGGCGCTGGGATCCCCCATCCTGAGGGGGATCCACAGCTCAGCCTCGGTGACCGGCGGGCTGGGGCCCTGCAGGAGACGGTTCGGAGGTGGCCGTGGGCGGGGGTGCTGTGGGGGCACCTGGGGCCCTGGCCAAGGGCAGTGACCAGCCCTGCTCTTGCCCAGATGTCAGCGAGAGCGCCTGGAGGGGGAGACTTGCTCCGAGAAGTGTGGGGCCCAAGAGGCAGCCCGGGGACCATGGCGCTGACCCGGAGGCCCCTTGGGGCCGACCCCAGACCCCCGCCTGCGACCCCAGGATCCTCTCCTCCAAGCTCCTGCTGTCACCCCCCGCGAAAAACGGAGAGAGCCACCTCGGGGAGGGCCTGGCCAGCCTGGTCCTGGACGCCCCAAGCCCCGCAGAGCGGGGCCGCCTGAGGAAGGTGCAGACGGTCCCCAGGCTCCTGCCCGAGGGCCCCGAGGCCGGCGCCCTCTGCCTGCCGCCGGCCAGCGTGACCAACCAGCTGCCCACATCGCAGTTCTCCGCTCCAGACCCCAGGGAGGCCTTTCCCGAGCGGAAGAGCAGCCCTCCCAGCCTCAAAGGCCCGCCCAAGGCCAGAGCGCGGCCGGAGCAGGAGCCTGGGCTCCAGGCGGACGGGGCTCGGGGCGTGGGTCCCAGTGGGGGCGGGGTGGCTGGGGGGCCCGGCCAGGGCCCTGTGGAGGAATGCCACCCGCCCTGTCCTGAGGACCCTCCAGAGGCAGGTGGAGACTCGGGGATGCTGGGGGCCGACCAGCAGGTTCCAGAAGGAGCCGGAGAGGCGGGAAGCGCAGCCTCGGACCAGGTGGGTGAGGGCGTGTTCTGCGTGGCCGTGGCCAGGGAGGGTCTTCCGTCGGCAGGGAGGGACAGGGGGCTCTGTCAGAACCGAGTCCTGGGAGCTGGGGTACGATCAGCATCCCCACGGGCACTCTGAGTGGCCCTTTGTGGCCAAGGACCCTGGGCGGAGCCGGCCAAACACACTGTCCTGCTTGGCGCCCAGCAGGCTGCCCCCTGAAGCTGTGTCTCCGTGAGCTCCTGGGGCAAAGCCGCCTGGAAGCCACGGCCCAAACCCAGGGTGGCCAGGGGCAGCCCGGCCCAGCACGGCGGCTGGCAGGACGGCCCAGAAACCCGCCAGGCTTTGTGGGCCCAGGGACTCGGGGCGGGTCTGTGTTTCCATTTTTATTCACATCCTGACCGGCACCTGAGAGTGAGCGTGCCTTCAGTGAAGAGTGCGGTAATCATAAAATCAAGCCCACCCCGGACTCCCTCACCCGAGGCCCGGCTGCCCCACTACACGGCGCCCCGCATCCACACACACACGTGGCTCCCGCCTCTCGCCTCCCGTGAAGGGTGCCGCTGCGAACGTGGGAATGCCAGTGCTGTGCCAGAGGACCCGGCAACCACTTCTGGGGATTTGCCCCAGAGAACAGCTGGGTCCTGTGGCCGCTCTGTTTTCAGTTTTCGGGAACCCCAGGCTGTCCTCCATGGGCTGCTCCTCCATGTCCCTCCGCGGTGCACGGTCCCGTCTCTCACACCCTCCCAGCCCCTGGGTGCATGGGTCCCATCCCTCATACCCTCCCAGCCCCTGGGTGCATGGGTCCCATCCCTCATACCCTCCCAGCCCCTGGGTGCATGGGTCCCATCCCTCACACCCTCCCAGCACCTGGGTGCATGGGTCCCATCCCTCATACCCTCCCAGCACCTGGGTGCATGGGTCCCATCCCTCACACCCTCCCAGCCCCTGGGTGCATGGGTCCCATCCCTCACACCCTCCCAGCACCTGGGTGCATGGGTCCCATCCCTCACACCCTCCCAGCCCCTGGTGCACGTGGGGACGTCTCCCAGCTGACCTGCCAGCAGAGGTCTTGCAGGAGGTGTCTGACGTGGCTCTCGCCCTGTCCCTCCCCCAGGGCGTCTCCCTGCAGGACCTCCTGTCCAAGCTGGGCCGGCCCTTCAGGGAGTACGAGCTGTGGGCTCTGTCCCACGCCTGCCTCAGCGCCATAGGCACCCACGCCCGGCTCCCAGGTGACACTTGCACTGCGGTTCCCTGTTCAGCCATGTGGCCCATGGACGCAATGTCCACACTGTGGGCCAGGGGCACCCCGGGGGGCGTCTGCTCTGTGCTCAGGACCCACTGAGTCAGGGGGCGGCAGGGGGCAGATGCCTAACTGTGGGCCTTAGAGCAGGTGACCCAGCTGACCCACCGCCTCTCCGCAGGGAGACCCTGTCCCCAGGGAGAGGGTATTAGACATTGCACTGCTTTGTGGCCCCCAAATTCAACCCTGCAGGGCAGGGACAGGGCTGCCCTCGAGTCCCGTGGTCCACAGGCCTGTGACGTCCGGTCAGGCTGGGCCTCCAGCCTCCTGCAGGACCCCTCCCCCGTCACCCTCCTCTTTCCTCAGCTCCTCCTGTGTCTGGCAGCCACAGGCCAGCTCTGGGGCAGGAGGGCTGCTCAGAGGGCCCTGTGTCCTGCCCCCCAGGGCCGTCTGTCCAGCGCCTGTGAGGAAGGGAGGAGGTCCAGCCAGTGCCCTGGCCCTCTTGTTGCATCCAGCGAGGGACCCAGTGTCCTCGCGTCCCCTGGGTGGCCCAGGGGCCTTCGGGTGACACGGGGGCTGCCCCACCCACCCGCACCCCAGCAGGCCTCCGGGGAGCAGGTCTCTGCGGTGAGCCCAGCCCTGACCTCGCCTTCTGCTGCAGCCTACCTGTGTCCGGACTCCGTGCTGGTGGCCGAGGACGGGGCCGTGCTTTTCGGGCCGCCCCCCGCCAACGGTGGGTACCGGCGGGCGTGGCTCCCCCTCGGCTGTGTTCCCACATCGACCGCCACCCTCCGAGGCGGGAAGGAGAGCTCAGCTGGGCCTGGGGTTTCTCTCTCAGGCACATCCAACTCGTTCTTCCTGGCCCCCGAGGTGGCGGAGCAGCAGCTGGTGACTGAAAAGGTGCCTGGCCCATCCCCCTCTCCTACCCTCAGGGATGCCACCCCCTCTGTCCTGAGCCTGGGGGAGAAGGAAGGGACGGGCACTGGCTCAGGGGGGTCCATCCCCCCGGCTTTGCCCAACCTGGGCAGCCTGCCCAGCAGGTGCCTCTCGGGCTCTGCTGGTGCCATCCCAAGATCGGATTCAGCATGGGCAGCTCGGGACCTGTGGGCGCTTGTTAAACACGCACCTGGGGGCTGGGGGCTTCCAGGTGCCGGTGGGGTCCGGTCAGGGACGGCTCTCGGGGGACGGAGCTGGTCTGCTGAGCACGCTGGCTCCTCTCGTCCCCAGGCCTCGGTGTACTGTGTAGCCGCAGTGCTGTGGATGGCGGCCAAGTTCAGCGTCCCCCAAGACCACAAGCTGGCCCTGCCACGCAGGCTCAAGACCCTCCTCCTGGAGATGGCCAGGCGCAGCGCCCAGGAGCGGCCGTCTGTGGCCGAGGCCGTCAAGGTAGCCTGGCCGTGGGGTGCCCACAAGGAAGGGACTTCTTATTTCCAGGGAAAGTGGGCGTTGGGCAGGGAGGGCACGGGTTTCCTTTGTGGAGGGCCCCTCACCCCAGCACTGCCCCCAGACCACCTGGCCAGAGAGCGGGCAGGGTGGTCCTGGGGCCAGCCCAGACCCTGCCCTTAAGCCGGGCCTGAGAGGAGCGGAGCACCCCGCTCACCGACTTCCCCACACCTCCTGGGAGTCCTCCCCCCTCCTCTTCCTGGGGTTCAGGGCCGCGGGGCTCCAAGTGACAAGTGAAGAGGAGCCCCGCTGCTGTTTCCCTGATTGGGGGACCACAGAACCTTCTAGAAGGAGAGGCTGTGTGCACCCCGGGAGGAGACAGCTTTGCAGCGGCGGCCTGGGTGCCCGGCCCTGCCAGCTGCCTGCCCCTGACTGCTGTCAAGTGCGGCCCACACCAGCTCTCAGGTGTCAGAGCGTTTGCTTGTGGAGTGAGTCGCTGGACTGAGAGGGGCCAGCCGCCTGCACCTCCACGTGTTGGACGTGTGGCCCGTGTCCTTGCTTTCAGGTGTGCGGCAGTTACCTCCTCCAGCGAGGCATGGACAGCAGGAAGATCTTAGCCCACCTGCGGGCATCCACCTGTCAGGTAAGAGAGCGATTCCCAGGCTCAGGTGTGAGCCCGGAACCTGCCCTGGGGCCGGGGAGACGCGGGTCCTGTTCCAACTGTTTGTCGTACAGATGTAGAGTGTAGGGGAGGGGCAATTCTCAGCCTCTTCTACCATCTATCTATCTATCTATATATATATATAAATATATCTATATTTATATAGATAGATAGATATAGCTATATCTATATTTTGTTGATTTTTTACAGAGAGGAAAGGAGAGAGATAGAGAGCTAGAAACATCGACCAGCTGCCTCCTGCACACCCCCATTGGGGATGTGCCTGCAACCAAGGCACATGCCCTTAACCGGAATCGAACCCGGGACCTTTCAGTCCGCAGGCTGACGCTCTATCCACTGAACCACACTGGTTTCGGCCTCTTCTACCATCTTGAACAGCAGCCCCACGCCCTGGCGCACTGACCCCAGACAGGGGAGGGGCTCACCCCAGGTGGCCTGCACGCTGGCCCTCAGCTAGCTGCACCACTTCCTCACGTCCCTGTCGGCCCCCAGGCAGCTGACAGGGCTGGCCACCTCGGGGTCCCTGGGTCAGCAGACAGGCACCCACCACCCACCAGGGCCCGGGACAGGGTAGCCTTCCTGTGCCTAGAAACCCACCAAACCGTTGGAAGCGGAGGCAGGTGCCTTAGGCTCTGTGAGGCGGCTGAGGCTGAGCCTGGGCCTCTGGGGTCACCTCACAGGGGCCTGTGTCCTCCTGCCCAGGTTTACCAGGAGGAAGAGATCATCAGCCTCCAAAATGTGTTCTCGGTGGCTGACCTGACCCCCAGCGCAGCGCCAGCTCCCGGGTCCAGCTCAGGTGAGTCCCCCCAGAACCAGCCCATCCTCCCCCGGGGCCCTGCTGTCCGCCAGAGTGTGACCCTGCACCTGGATATCACGGGGACCCTCACCTTCCCTCCCCCCGCCTCTGTCGGTCCCTTCTAAAGGCCCCATGGCTCAGGCCTCGGCGCTAAAGTCTCCCATCTCACCAGCCGCCAGAACGTCAGCTCCCGCCCGCCTCCTCCCCACCCCCTCCTGTGGTCACATCGCCGACCCCCTAGTTCTTGTCCTGCTCCGTCCCCTCCAGAGCCCGCTGTGTCCTGTCTCCACGGCACCGATCCCGTCCTGCCCGGGGCCGGGTCCTCGGGGTTTTCATGTCCCCAGTCCCCCCTGAGGAGCGTCCCCCACCTCCCTCCCAGCCCCAGCAGCCCTGGACTCAGCCTCCCGTCCCCTGGTGCTGGAACGTCCCCGTGTGCTTGGGGATGGTGAGCGGGGCCCAGCACCCCCTCAGAGCGGGCGGAGCCATCCCCCCAACCACACTCACCCCCCGTTTGTCCAGACTTCGTGCAGGTCAGCGGTGACACCGGACTCATGGCTGTGCAGGGGCCTGTGCCCGACCCGCCCTCCTGCAGCGAGGGGCCCCTGGAGCTGCCCGAAGCGCCCGCCGCCCCCGCCGCGCCCCCCATGCCCATCGGCCTCGCACCAGACGCAGGTGCGGCCAGGTGAGTGGCAGGTGTGGCCAGGAGCCGGCCGGGCCCAGGAGCCTCTCCTGAGCGCTCTCTCTGCTCACAGGGAGGTCCTCGCCAGGGCCTCGGGGCCGGCAGAGAGGCCAGAGGAGAGGGAAGGCGGGCTGGACGCGGACGTCGATGAGAAGAAGGCTCCCGAGGCCCACGCGCTGGCCGCCAGCCTGGAGACACCTGACCAGAGGGCGCCTGGTCCCCGGTCGAGCGGCACAGCCCCGGGACCCCCAAGAGAGTTGACGCCGAGAGGGTCAGCCCAGGGGTGCCCCTGCCCCCCAGCTCCCAGCTCCTCGGTGATGCCCCAGGAGCGAGGGCTGGAGGAGCGGGTCCCGCCTGGAGCCTCCTCCAGAGGCCTGGGGCCCCGCACCCCGGAGGCCCCCGCAGCTCGCCAGGGCCCGCCTCACCCGGCCAAGCCGCCCCGGAGCAAGGCCACCAAGGGCCCCGGCCAGGAGCCCCAGGGCCCACCCCCAGCCTCCTGCAGCCCCGCCCTGGCCAAGGCGAGTCCAGACGGCCCCCGGGGCGCGGCGGACAGTCACCCCGAGCAGCCCCGGCCGGCAGACCGCAAGCTGGGTCCGCCCGGTGTGGACGCCGCGCCCGTCCCCAAGAGCAAGGCCTGCCCGTCCCTGCAGGAGGCCACGCGCCTCATCCAGGAGGAGTTCGCCTTCGACGGCTACCTGGACAACGGGCTGGAGGCGCTGATCATGGGTACGGGGCCCCCAGGCCCGAGGGACGCCCCAGGACCAGGGAGCGGCGGGGGGACGCAGGGCCCGGGCGGGGGGGCGGCGTGAGGGGGGCCTCAGTGGCCACAAAGAGGGCCCCACTCCTCGGTCTGCACTACGAGCCCCTGAGCAGAGCCAGCCCCCCGGGGGCCTCTGGCAGCCAGGAGGGCCTCAGAGCCCAGCCCCCGGGACCAGCCTCATTTGCGCAGAAAGTCAGGGGGCCCCCAAAGTGGCTCCCCCACATTCTAACTCGCCCCTGTCGATGTGCGAAACCAGGGGAGTACATTTACGCCCTGAAAGATCTCACCTACGCCACATTCTGCGGGGCCATATCCGAGAAGTTCTGCGACCTGTACTGGGGCGAGAAGCTGCTGCAGAGCCTCTTCAAGGTGGTGAACGAGAGGACATCGCCCCCCAGGAAGTGAGCGCCTCCGGGGGCCAGGCTCCCCCTCCGGCCCCGAGGCAGACCCTCCCTCCTCCCGCCCTCCTCACCCAGCATTCACACCCTCCCCACAGGGCCCCTCACCCAGGGCCCCTCACCCAGGGCCCCTCTCGCCGCCCAAAGCCCACCCTGTTCCCCAGCCTTCGGTTCCAGCACCTGGTCCCTTAGTGGGAGAGGGGGGCCCATAGGATCACAGGGGCCAGGAGGCACATCCCCCTGCTCAGGGACCAGCTGGAGGAGCCCAATAACCAGGAGCCCCACAGGCAAGGTCCCCTGGGAAGGCGCTGCAGGGGCACCTGCAGTCTTGTCTGGGATGGGGAGCCCAGGAGGGGGGGGCACGGAGGCTCCAGTGTCCTCCATCTGGTGGCAGCACCTCGGAGGCGGCTGGGCCACAGCCCGAGGGCGGCCATGCCAGCGTGCGAAGCGGCTGCTCACCGTCCAGCAAACGGCCCTTGCTGCACGGAGCAGGTAAGCAATGGGGGCCAGGGGGGAGGAGGGGGGATGGGCGCACTTTCCAGGGCAGGTTCCAGGTTTATCTCCACCCTCCTTGTGTGGCTGGACCATTACAGGAAAGGCTTCCTTTGTCCCCCTCCCATGGGGGGTCTGAACTGTGCAGGGGGATGGGTGAGGTGACAAGTGGGTGCCCGTGTGGCCTTGACCTCTCACCCCTTTCACCCCCCCTTTCACCGCACGCGTCTGAGGATGATGCATCGCCTGTCCTGACCCTCCCTCTGCAGACAGACGCACTTCATTGTGTCCAACTATTTGCACGCAGTTAGGGTTCCCTCAAATCTCCACTGTCAAGTTCGCCCCCATGAGGCAGCTGGGTTTTTGAGGACCCTTGTGGCCCCTCTTGAGAAGTGGGGGTGCCCGGACACCCCAAAGGGTCTCACGTCCCCGACCGGGTGCAGGTAGCCCCTCTGGAAACAGTCTGGCAGACGCTCTGCATGACCCGCAGCTGCTGGCCCCACCGCCCTGTTCCCTGTCCTCCGTCCAGGGAAGGACACGCCGGCCGCTCACAGCAGCAGAGCCCCCTGCCTACCCCCCTCGCTGTCCGACACGGACTCCGATGAGCTGTCCCGGGGCAACTTGGAGGTGGGATTTCGGCCTCAGAGGTCTGTGAAAGCCGAGAAGGAGCAGGCGAGGGGCCCCGCGCCGGCCAGAGGGACCCCGGACGTGGAGGCCGCGGCCCAGCTGGCCAGGCCCAAGGAGGGTGGTCCCGCTGTGGCTCCGGGCCCGGCCGAGTTCCAGGGCTGCAGCCCCGGCTGGAGCAGCGCCTTCTACGAGGCCGACTGCTTTGGCACCGACGTCCACAACTACGTGAAGGAGCTGGAGGGGCAGAAGGCCGGCGGGGCCCCCGACACCTCAAGCCCCGTGAGTGCGGGGCCTCCGTCCACGACGGGGTTGGGGCAGGGGGCCGAGTCCAAGCCAAAGTTCTTATCTCGGGTAGCAAAGGGCCCCTCCCGGTGTCTCCCATTCCCACTCACCCCCGGCCACCTCCCCCGGAGCGCCGTGCCCTCCCCATGCCCGTCTGCACGTGTTCTCCAGCTTTTGGGGGAGGGAATGGCCTGTCTGTCCTCATTCGAGGAGCACCTGGTCACCAGGCGACAGTTGGCAGGAGGTCATCTCAGCCTGGCGAGCCCGGTCAGTGGCTCTGGCCCTCCAGGCTCTGGTCCCCCCGGCAGCATCCCTCTGAGAAACACCTGCCGTGGCAGGCAGCTCAGCCTGGGCCCCGGCAGTCGCCCGGCCTGGCTTCCATGGCAGAGGGAACCCCTCCGTGGGCAGCTTCCTGCTCTCAGCCCAGCTCACGGCTGGTCTCCAAGCCACAGGTCACCAGAAGGTGTGTCTCCCCCTCTTCAGCGCCGGCTAAGCCTTCCCAGCGTTTCTTGTCTTCCTCCCGCCACTGTCTGAGCTTCTCTTATTAATAAGTCCCTGCCAGAGAGACCGGCCCTGCCTCGGACCTGGCATGGGGATAGGCGGCTGAGTTAAAATGAAGAGATGGCCCAGTGATGTTTTTTACAGAAAGAGAAAACCTATCCCAGAATTCTTATGACTCTCAAGGGGCCCTGAATGGCCAAAACCCATGGTCGGCAAATGGTGGCTCGCGAGCCACATGCGGCTCTTTGGCCCCTTGAGTGTGGCTCTTCCACAAAACACCACGGCCTGGGCGAGTCTATTTTGAAGAAGTGGCGTTAGAAGAAGCTGAAGTTTAAAAATTTTGGCTCTCAAAAGAAATATCAATCGTTGTACTGTTGATACTTGGCTCTGTTGACTAATGAGTTTGCCGACCACTGACCAAAACAATCATGGAAAATAACAAAGCCGGAGGACTCACATTTCCGACTTCAACGTTTTCTGCCAGGCTGCTGGAACCACTCAGTGTGACGTTGGCGCAGGGACAGACAGGGACCGAGGAACAGAACAGAGGGCCCGGAAATGAGCTCAGATCTGTAGTCAAATGACTCTGACGAGGCGGCCAAGACCACCCACTGAGGAAAGGACGGCCTCCAGCGGGTGGTGCTGGGCAGACGATGTCCACGTGCAAAAGGATGAAGCTGGGCCTGGCCGCACACCATAGACAGGAACTGGCTATAAAAGCAGAGACCTAAACCTGAAGAGCTAACACCATAAAACTCTTAGAAGGAAATATAGGGGAAGCTTCCACAGCCTGGATTTGGCCATGGTTTCTTGGATATGACACCAAAAGCACAAGCAACACAAGAAAAAATAAACCAACTTCCTTACAATTAAAGCTTTTGTGCATCAAATGGCTCTATCGACAGAGTAAAAAGGCTCCCACTGATGGGTGGAAACATTTGCAAGTCATCTATCTGATAAGAGCTTAGTACAGACTATGCTAACATTCCCAAACTCAACAAAACAGAACAGCCAGTTAAAAAACGAGGAAAAGGCCCTAGCCAGTGTGGTTCAGTGGATAGAGGACTGGCCCACAGACTGAAAGGTCTAGGGTTCAGTTCTGGGTCAAGGGCATGTACTTCCATTGCAGGCTTGCTCCCCAGCATGCAGGAGGCAACCACTCAATCTTTCTCTCCCTCTCCCTCTCCTCTCCTCTCTCTCTCTCTCCCCCCACCCCCTACCCCCACTCTTTCAAAAATCAATGAAAATATATCCTCGGGTGAGGATTAACTCAAAAAGTTAAAAAAAAAAAAAAAAAAAAGTGGACTGAGGCCAGCTCAGATCAATGATTCTGCTGGGGCAGCATCCATTTTTACTGGGTGGTGAGCCTATGGGTGGGACCCCCGGGCCTCCCGCCTCTAAAATGCCACCCTGGACAAGCCCCCCGGGAGCCACACGGGGCCCTGCCGTCACTGTGGGTGGCCCCTGTGGGGACGGTCTGCAGGGGAGGTGGCCTGGGGGAAAGCCTGTGACCTCGTTCCTCCCTTTTTCCTGCTTTCCTGGGAAGACGACTCTCTTGGAACCCGAGTGCAGGCAGGTGAGCTCCCTGGCCCTCTGCATCCTGGGTAACGGGTTGGGGAGACCTGCCCGTAGCTACCTTTTCACATTTCTCCTTGAGAACCCGCTGCGTCGGCTTCAAAACAGGAGCCTCAGGAAAACACGAAAGTATAAAACCGCTAGCGGACACATTTCACATTCGCTGCCTCAAAACAGCGAGAGTGGGACAGGCCGGGGCGCTGGGTGAGTGGGGGACTGAGGGCACGCGTGTGCTGTCCACTTGTCCACACGGCAGTGGCTGCCCCACCCCCACCCCCAGTGAGTGCACCTGCCATGGGCCATAGCGTGTTTTCCATGCATTTTGCGTGGGGCCAGCTGAAATGTGAATTCCAGAACAGAGGGAGGCGTGTCCCGTGGGTGCTGAGGCCGCACGGCCCAGTCCCGGGCCCAGCAGCTCTCGCCTCCCTAGGAGCTGGAGCAGCAGCTCATGATGGAGAAGAGAACCTACCGGAAGACCCTTAAGTTCTACCAGAAGCTCCTACAGAAGGAGAAGCGGAGTAAAGGTAGGGTCATGGGTGTTCAGGGTCGCACGCTCCCCACCCCCACCCGCCCCAGGGTGGCCAGGGCCGCTGGGTGCTGACTCTGCCCTGCCCCCAGGCTCCGAGGTGAAGACGATGCTGTCCAAGCTGAAGGGGCAGCTGGAAGAGATGAAGTCCAAGGTGCAGTTCCTCGGGCTGGTCAAGAAGTACCTGCAGGTACAGCCTTGGAAACCCATTGTATAATACAAACAAACCCCGACTTTCGAGGGGCCGCAGCCGAGCCGCCGCCCGGGGTCAGTGTGACCGGGGACCGGAGTCCTGCACACACCTGGGCGCAGTCCGCCGGGCCGCGCTGACCCGCCCTCCCCCGCAGGTGGCGTACGCGGAGCGCTGGGGCCTGGAGCCCTGTGCCCTGCCCGTGATCGTGAGCCTCTCCTCGGCCCCCAGCGACACGCTGGGCTTCAGCCCGCTGGACGAGTCCTCGTCCCTCATCTTCTACAACGTCAGCAAGCACCCACGCGGCGGCCGGCAGCGCAAGGCCCGCGTCCTGCAGGCCGGCACGCCGCTGGGGCTCATGGCCTACCTCTACTCCAGGTGCAGCCGCCGGGCCCCGGGGTGAGGCGGGGCGGGGGGGGCATGGTTTCCCCCGTCACCTGTCAGGCCTTGGAGAGCAAAAGGGAGACAGAACAAAAAAAAGAAACGAGCCCCTAGGAGAGGGAGGAGGTGGGGGAGTCTTGCCTCCCCTCACCTGAGCCGGGTTTGCACGGTTTTCATTTAGAACGGATTTCACCCGGGCTTGTTGACGTGCAGTCGCTACCTCGTGCTCCTTTGTTGGGCTCCTGGCTTGAGTGGCCTCAGAGCTGCAGGCCCGCCCGGCAGCAGGTCTGGGTCTGGGTCCGGGTCTCAGGGGCCCCAGAAGGTGCTTTGGAGGAAAGTGTGTGGCTAACTGCCCAGCAGGCCTCTCGGGATCAATGCACACAGGATCCTCGGAGACACACCTGAATCCCACCCGCTTTACTAAGTCAAACCCCCCTTCCTTACCTAACCGCACGGCTCCCAGGGACTGCGGTGGGGCTGGGCTCAGAGGCCCACTGGGGTAGGTGTGCAGCGCCACCTGTGGGCATGAGGACTGCCTGGTTCCTCGCACACCCGGTTAGTGAGCTCGCTCTGCAGCAGGAACATCTGCCCACTCACACCACAGTCACCTGTCACGCCCAGTGCCCCTCCACCCCTCCCTCTGCCCACCTGGTCCATAGATGCACCGTGTCCTGGTGGGCCCCTCGGCTCCCCCGGCCCTGGGCACGGCCCTCTCGGCAGGCTCTCTTAACCCGATGGCCTGGCCCACACCCAGGGGTGGGAGGGCCCGCCCAGGCCTGGCTTTTGGAGACCTATGAGTGGACCCTCTTTGCAGGGCAAACTGGGCCAGTGGCTGCCTAGTCCCTGGCCTGAGCCCTCCGTGTCCCCACCGAGGCCCGGGGCTGACCAGGTAGCTAGCTGGTCGCCTGCAGCTCCTCCTGCAGTGGCTAGGGGGCAGCCTTGCCAGGACCCCCCCTGTTACTCAGTCAGACACACAGGCTTTCGGGGGGTCCCCTGAGGGTGGGGCTCTCGTACACTCCGCTGCCTGGCTCCACCTAAAGATGCAGGGCTCTGGGCACAGCCTGCTCTTTCCTAATGCAGGGATGTCCCCCCGGGGAGGGGACTGTGCGTGCCCAGAGTGTTCTAGAAGGAGATAGAATAGGTTCTAGAAGGAGACTCACAGGTGGGCCTCAAAAAGTGATGGCCAGTCGCACACTGAACTCACACTCATGTCACACTTATACTCACGCTCACACACAGCCATACTCACACTCACACACACTTACCCCCGAGAACCACTAGCCAAGGCTGGGTGGACGCGGGCCTCCGCGCACCTGAGGCGCAGGTGAGGCCCTGCCGGTCTGACGGGCCCCTCTGCGCAGCGACGCCTTCCTGGAGGGCTACGTGCAGCAGTTCCTGTACACCTTCCGCTACTTCTGCACGCCCCAGGACTTCCTGCACTTCCTCCTCGACCGCCTCAGCAGCACCCTGTCCAGGTACGCCCCCCAGTGGGCCCCTCACCGCAGGGGGACGCCGGGCCCTCGTCTGCTGACCCCGACAAGGGAGGAGGCCTGGAGGAGGTTGAGGGGAGGATGGAGGGGGTCGCTGCTGCAGAGAAGAGAGCCAGCGTGGGCAGGAGGGGACTGTGCCTCACCTGGAGAGCCACTGGAGGGCGATGATGGGGGAGGCAGAGGGTGGGGACAGGGACAAGTGGGAAGACCAGGCAACCCCCAAGCAGGGAGGGCCCAGCATCTCACCCAGAGCCAAGGAGCTGGGGTGCTGAGGAAAGGGTGGATGCACGCTGGCTGCAAGCCCCCTCCTCATACCTCTTGCACCCTCACCAGGCTGGATGCCCTGGCAGTCACAGCCCATCCTTGGGGGGGGGGGGGGTGTCACAGGAGACACACACCCCCCGCAATCCCTCCACACGTGGAGCCAGGCTCCCCGCTGCCTGTTGGGAAGCGAGCTGGCTCTGGGGGTGGCAGGAGGGCCAGTCCTGCCCTGTGACGCTGAGCCCTGGGCCCCCGTTGTGTGGCAGCTGCTGCCTCTCTCCTGTCCCCGAGTGGGCAGGGCAGGGGCTAAAACACCCTCTTGAAGACTGAGCTGCATTCAGACTCCGCACACACCCCCTTGTCTGGCCATCTGCCTCCAGGGCCCATGAGGACCCCACCTCGACCTTCACCAAGATCTACAAGCGCAGCCTCTGCCTGCTGCAGGCCTGGGTGGAAGACTGCCACGCCGTGGACTTCACCAGGAACGCCGGGCTGCGGGGGCGGCTGGGGGACTTCCTCTCCTCCAAGGTGCCCGCCGGCAGCGCTCGGGAGTGGTCGCCAGCACCGCCCAGGCCCAGCCTTGACCCCTCTGCTTCCGTCCAGGTCCTGCCCCTGGACAGCTCCGTGGAGCACCTGCTGCGCCTCCTGGAGGTGGGCACAGAGCGGCGGGCCGAGGGCGCCCCGCACAGCACAGACCCGGAGGCCCCCAAGGAGACGGAGGAGGCCACCAGGTCCCTCAACGCCCTCTGCAAGAGGCTCTCGGAAGACAGCATCTCCCGCAAGGTGGGGGCCTCTCCGGGGGGGGGGGGGGGCCTCCCGGGACGGGTGCTGCTCCCAGCCGAGACAGCCCAGTGTGCTTGCGCACCCACACGCAAACGTGCACACATACACATGCCCGTGTGCACATGTATGCACGGGCACATAAGCACACACACTCCTTGCTGCCTGCCAATCCTGGGACCAGCCCTGTGGGGCTGGCACTGCCTGTCCCCTCTCCCCCTGGGCAAGGACAGCCAGGTGCTAAGATGACCTCACCTCCTGCCCTTGGGCCAGAGATCGGGGTGGAAGGAGGCCTTGTCAGGAAGTGTCCTGGGACAAGCACGGGGACTGAGGGAACCTTCCCATAGTGTGTGGGGACAGCCCCAGACTTCAGCGGTCTGTCTACAGGAGACCCCCTGACCCAGCCAGGGCCGGGTCCTGGAGCCCACACGGCCGCAGGTGGGAGGGGTGTGTGCGCCCAGGCTCTAGCTGAGCCAGGCTGAAGGCTCCTGCGCCTGGGTCCTCTCCCCTCCTTCTCCCACTCCCCCCGCAGAGCTTCCCCTGGAGGCTGCCCCGGGGCAACGGGCTGGCACTGCCACACCACAAGGAGCGCCAGTACACCATCGCGTCCGCCCTGCCCAAGCCCTGCTTCTTCGAGGACTTCTGCAGCCCCTACGCCAAGGCCGGCGAGAAGGGGCCCTACTTCCTGACCGAGTACAGCACCCACCAGCTCTTCACCCAGCTGACGCTGCTGCAGCAGGTGGGCCATCGGCAGGGGTGCCCGGGTGCCCGCGGGCCCACACGTGTCTGCTGGAGGGGCACACGGACACGCAGGGAAGGGAGCTGACTGACAGGTACAGGCCGGGGGCAGGGGTGCCCCTAAAAAGGATCCAGGAGGGACTCTGGCTCTGAGCGCACAAGGCACACAGGGCCTGCTGCCCACCCTCCTGCGCCCCCGACACCCCCACCTCTCAAACACCAGGGGGTGCCCTTTGGACTGTCATGGGTACCACCTTGGCTACCACCTCCTTCCTCCTGGATCTGCCCAGCACCCAGGAGTTCAGGCACCTCCAGGCCCTTTGGTCTCCCTGGGCCCAGCCCCCAAGCATCCCCTTCCCGGCCCCTCCCCATCCTGGTTCCCCAGACCACTGGGCAGGTGACAGCAGTGACAGAGACCCACACGATCACAACAGGGCAGGGGCCGCGCCCGACAGCGCACAGGGCAGGCAATGCAGAGGCGACCCCCACCCACAGCCCCCAGGACACTGCCTTGAGCGTGAGGTGCCCTGACCGTCGGTGTCCTTGTCTCCGCAGGACTTGTTTCAAAGGTGCCATCCCGTCCACTTCTTAAACTCACGGGCCCTGGGCGTCATGGACAAAAGTGCCGCCATCCCGAAGTGAGTGTCCACCCGCCGGTGTCCCCCGGAGGCCTGGGGTGGATGGTGGCGGGAGGTGTTGGCAGCTTGACCTAAGTGTCTGGTGGACACTCTTGTCTGGAGAGAGAAGCTGGTGTCAGGACCGGCCTCGGAGCCGGACCCTCCGCAGTCACACAGCCCGGCCCAGACCAGGCCCCAGCACCGGCCTCGCTGTGACTCGCACCCGTGTCTCCTCCAGGGCCAGCTCCTCGGAGTCTCTGTCTGCGAAAACCTGCAGCCTGTTTCTGCCCAATTACGTCCAGGACAAGTACCTGCTACAGCTTTTGAGAAGCGCAGATGACGTCAGCAACTGGGTGGCCGCCGAGATCGTGACCAGCCACACCTCCAAGGTTGGAGCAGGGCCTGGGGTCCGACTGCATGGCGAGCGGCCCTCCCGAGGGTTCCCGTCGTCAGTCTCCCAGGGTGGGGGGGTTCGCAGGCCCTGCCCCCGCCATCAGAGGGTGAAGCCGAGATCAGATCCGCTCCTGGCACTCACAGCCTCTGCAATTTCTCCTTTCCCTCTCTGATACTCACTCGTGTCCCTCACCCCAAGGCCCTCAGGGCAACCCCAAGGCCCCTTAATAAATGCAGGTTTCTGTTGCTTTCCCCTTTGGGAACTTAGGAGTTTATTAGTTGACAGACTGGCCCACCTTCACTTCTACCCAGATGTAGGAACAGGGGTCCTGAGCCCACCTGGTCTGTCCTAATTCACGCTATTAAAAATATCACCGTATCCAAGGTTGCTCCCCCCCACCCACCCGTGATAACCGGAAGCCACTGAGTCAGTTGACCTGCCGGTTCCCGGGTCAGTTGCAGGTCAACCTGCTGTCCAAGTTCCTGCTGATTGCAAAATCGTGCTACGAGCAGAGGAACTTCGCGACCGCCATGCAGATCCTGGGCGGCCTGGAGCACCTCGCCGTGAGGCAGTGCCCGGTGAGTCCCGGGCTGGGGCGGCTGCCGCTGGCCTCGGCCGTGTGTGCCGAGGGCCGGGGCGCCAGCCTGCCGCAGGCCTCACCGGAACTCTCACTCTAGGCCTGGAGAATCCTGCCGGCGAAGATAGCAGAGGTCATGGAGGAGCTGAAAGCTGTGGAGGTACCCCCACTCTGTGTGCGCTTCAGGCACCTGTGCCCGCCTGGGGGTGCGATCGGCACAGCTGGGGGGTGGCACCCTCAGAGCCAGCATCAGGGCCCAGAGCACATGGCCCCTCAAGAGTCGGGGTGCCCATCTCCCCACGGGTCCTTTGCCGCTCACCTGGGCGGCTGGGAGCTCAGGGGCTCCCGAAGCCCGCCTGCTGGGCCAGCAGCAGAGGGCACAGGTGCCAGAGGTCCCGAGCTTGGCTGACTGGCCGCCTCCTCACCGCCTGACAAAGGGAGATCATGAGGGAGGACAATGGGCATTTCCCCCAGCGGCCGGGAGCGCCCCGGCCCAGACAGCTCTCTGCGGGCGGCAGGGCTGTGTCCTCCGTTAACGCCAGACCTGGCCCCGCAGCCGGCCTTGGGCTTCCCTGGGGAGCTGGGTCACCGGCTCCTCTCTGGAGCCCGTGGGAGGAGGAGTTGGGGAAGGGATCTGCCATTTCGGGGGTAGGATTGCGCAGCTTTCTGAGGGGTCAGTGTGGCCTTTGTGGTGTCCAAGGTGAAGACACGGGACTTGTGATCCCCAATCCATTAACGCAAGGTGCGTTTGGACGGGTTGTAAGTCCGAAGGCTGCGGGACTGTGGGCGCCAACCGGGATGGCCTGGGCTGAGCCAGGACTGGCTGACCGCCCAGGACTGACCTCTGGCCTGTCTCCCGCGCCCACGCCCCTGGCCGGGCCCCCAGGTGTTCCTGAAGAGCGACAGCCTGTGTCTGATGGAAGGGCGACGCTTCCGGGCACAGCCCACCCTGCCCTCAGCCCGCCTCCTGGCCATGCACATCCAGCAGCTGGAGACAGGGGGCTTCACTATGACCAACGGGGCCCACCGGTGGAGCAAGCTCAGGTGAGGGCCCCCGGGATGCAGTGAGCTCCGGTGGGTGAGGGGCCCCGGGGTGCAGCGAGCTCAGGTGAGAGGCCCCGGGGTGCAGTGAGCTCAGGTGGGTGAGGGGCTCCGGGGTGCAGCGAGCCCCCTAATCCTCACTCAAGCTCCATCCCAGCCCAGGGCACCCCCACTCCTGGACCTGCAGCCACCTCCTGCTCTAATCTTAGTGCCCGCATGTCCCATGCTGCCATCCTGTCACTGAACCCGGTGCTCAGACACGCTAACAGCGCCCCTTAAACACCCACATCTACCGCCTCCACCTCCTCCGTCCGCCCAACGGCTCAGTGGGTTTCATTCATGTCGGCATCCTTAGCACCAACCAGGGCGACATAGATTTCCAGTAAATATTGGTGAAATGCAAAGCGGATGGAGGGATGGAGGGAGGGATGGATGGACGGACGGACGGACCACCGGCCTGAGTAATGAAGCGGAGTCTGGCCTCGTCCATACAGACAAGTCCAAGCTTGTGCTTTGACGAGCTTCGGTGCCAGCCGCGGGGAGCGCGTCGGGGATTTATGAGCTTCCGAGACGCGTGCAGACTGACGTCTCGTTCCTTCCCCGACACAGGAACATAGCCAAGGTGGCCAGCCAGGTGCACGCGTTCCAGGAGAACCCCTACACCTTCGCCCCCGACCCCAAGCTGCAGGCCTGCCTCAAGCAGCGCATCGCGCGCTTCAGCGGGGCCGACGTGTCCATCCTGGCCGCGGACAGCAGGGCCGGCTACCACCAGGTGGCCAGCGAGAAGCACTCCCGGAAGATCCAGGACAAGCTGCGGAAGATGAAGGCCACGTTCCAGTGACGGGTGGTGTGGGGGGACGTCAGATCCACACTGAAGACAGAGCTGGGGAGGAGGAGCCCGCCCGTTCGCTGCTCCGGGCCACATGGCCCCGCGGGCGCCGCACCCGCCACCTTAGCCTAGGGACCCCGGCACAGGCCCAGCCCGGGCCTCTGGGCACCAGAAAGGGAGAGCAAGGGGCTCAGACCACGGTTCGGAGGGGACAGGCACCAGGGCAAGTCAGGAGGTTTCTGCTAGAAAATTTAAAAATGCAATCTTAGCATTTTAAATGAAAATAGTCTAAGTAAGCGCCCAGGATCAGAGGGAAATGGCCCTCCCCACTTCTCCAGGGATCCAACCCACCCCCAAGCCCCACCCCACCTCCCAGCCTCAGACTGTAACTGGGCTCCCCAATGAGCAGGGTTTTCATGGGCCTGGCCTCCACGTGCCCAGCAACAAAGGACCAAGACTGACCTCTGACCCCCACACCCACCACAAATTCCAAGGGGTTCTGAACCCTTCCATGGGGTTCTTGAGGCTTCCCAGTAGCCCCAGCCCCAAACTGGTTGACACTCCCTTCCCCCTCCCAGACTTGCCCTGCCTCACCCCGTCCCAACCAAGTGGGGGTCCCAGGGCCCTGCAGCCCTTCCTGCCACCCATTCCAACTGTTGCTGGCAAGCGCCTCGCAGCTCCACACTGGCAGCCCCCCAAGTATCCTCTGGCCCCACGTGCCCACCACCCCACTCAGAACAGCTTCTGGCGGGACAGGTGCGCCCGGGCCACGGTTCTGCTTCCGAGCAAAGCACACAGGACACAGCATCTCCCTGAGAGGTCCCAAGCCCGTCTGGGGGCCCCTGGGCTGTGGCTGTGCCCACCTGCCTCCAGCAGCCATGCATGCCACGCACACTCCCACGCCTGGGCTCCCGCAGCTTGCCGTCACCAGTGCTTCGTCAGAACCAACCAGGAAATGGACGTTTGCTGCCTAAATGGCGCCAAGCTCCTCTCCAGGGCTGTTCCCCCGTGGCTGGTGCTGAGCACAGCTCGGTGGGTGGGGGACACCCTCAGAGGAGGCCTGCTGTCACACCCACCACCAGGCCTGTTCCCGGCCGTGGGAGGCCACACTCCCTGGCACCATCCCGGGCACCCCGTTCTTCCACTCAAACCATTGCAAGACCCTCGACCGCTCTTCTGAGTTTTAGAATTAGTCATTCTTTCGAGAGACCAGCTGTATTTCTAGGAAAACTTACTAGTGATCAAAAGCTGCTCTTCCAATATCGAGATGTGCTTTCCCACCTACATTCCCGTCAGGTCCTGCTAACATGGAGCACAGGGACTCGCGCTCCTGGCCATGCCAATGTGGCTTTTTTTTTTTTTAGGCTTTTCTATGAGGACTGTGTCCTGCCAATCAACCCTTATGTTTTCAGACTTTGAATGTAACAAGATAATGTCACAAAGCCTGAAGCAAAACTAGTGTCCAGCACAAATAAACATTCCAATCCTAACGACTTATTCAGGGGAACTGACGGGGCTTTGGCTCAGCACGATGTCTGCATGGCGCCCTCCTGTCCTGTAGCACAGGTTTCTAAAGAAAACCGTTTCTACCAGCACAGCTTCCCTGCGGCTCAGTGTGCTCCTCCCTGCTCTGTGGGCAGGGCGGGGGCTCCTTCGTGACCAGATGGAGACCATCAGGGTGCTCATGGAGGTGTGAGGGTCCTGGGGTGCTCAGGCCACAGCCTAGTCCTGGGGTAGTGCGGGGGGGAAAGGGCAGGTCAGCCAACACCTTTCGCACACGGGCCCCACCAAACGCGCAGGCCTGTGATCAGCAAACTCCTCCCGCAGGAAATACCTGCCTCTGGAGAAGACTGCAAACCACCAAAATGGCTGAGCCCCCAAGCCTCCCAGCGCCACCTCCCGGGCCACCGCCCGGCCCCAGCTGCTTCCCTCACAAGCTCATGGCACTTGGGCACCCAGACCTCAGTACCCAGACCTCACCGCCGCCTGCGGGCAGGAGCGGTGGATCGCTCCCGGGCACTCCCTCGCCAGGACCTGGCTGGGCAGGGTCCTCGTGGACGGGTTTGGGATTGGTGGGCACCACAAAGGGAGGGGAGGAAGGCCAAGAGCTGAGAATTTGGGGCATAAAGTGCCTGTATGAACGATAAAGCCCTTTGGGCGTGCAGGAGGCAGCCGATCAATGATTCTCCCTCATCGTTGATGTTTCTCTCTCCCTCTTCCTTCCTCTTTGAAATCAATAAAATATATTATTTAAAAAATGTATCCCACTGAAACCGGTTTGGCTCAGTGGATAGAGCGTCAGCCTGCGGACTGAAAGGTCCCAGGTTCGATTCCGGTCAAGGGCATGTACCTTGGTTGCAGGCACATCCCCAGTAGGAGGTGTGCAAGAGGCAGCTGATGATGCTTCTCTCTCATCGATGTTTCTAACTCTCTATCCCTCTCTCTTCCTCTCTGTAATAAATGAATAAAATAAAATAGAATAAAATAAAATAAAATAAAATAAAATAAAAATGTTTCCCTTCACCACACGGATCTAACCAAAGCAATGAGAACTGAAGGCCCACGACCCCCCAGGTCCTCCAGTGAGCCACACTCCCCAGCTCCCTGCAGGTCCCCTCCTGCACTGATGGAGCCCAGCCCAGGGCACTGGTGCTCTGGGAAAAGGCCCTACTGCGTAGGCAGCCTGCCCCAAGAGGGACCAGCCAGTGGGGAGCCACCCAAAGTAGCACAGGGAAGGCTGCATGGAGCTGCAGACACCCGACCGCTCAGCCAGCCCAGAGCCACCCAGGGCACCGCACACGCCACCTGGAGAAGACCTGTGGGACCCCAAACAGCTGGGCCATTGCCCGGGGAACAATGCCCGGGCCTGTCGGGCAGAGGGCACCCCTGCCTGCCCAGTCACAGCGAATGAAGAAGCGCCCCCCTGATCCTCGTCCCAGCTCTGACCACAGAATCATCAGCGTACTCAACTGGTGTGGCCCTTCCCACTGCGCGGAGCGGCCTGCCTGCCACCCAGGAAGTGACTCAAGTTCGAGCTGTGGGGAGCCGACCAGCCCCCAGACACACGGTTCCGCTGGGAACGCAGGACTCCAGCCGCTGCCCGCCAGCTTCCCCTGCAGCCCGGACTGTTTCCCGCCACGGCCTGGGGCTGTTTGGGTCCAGCTGCAAAGACAGGGAGTCCTTGTGGGACCTGGGACTCCGGGCCTGGAGCGGCCACTCTCCCCAGCCCGTCTTCATCTGCCTCTCTCACCCTGCCCGTAGCCCGGTCTCACCACAAGACACCGAACACCTGCAGGGGCTCATCTGGGGAACCACGGGGAAAGGCGCTGGCAAAGGGGTCAGGCCAACGGCAAAGAGCGGCTGGTGAAGGCTGAACTCAGCCTGTGGACGGCGGTCCTGAGGCTCCTCTCCGCGCACGTGAGGGCTGGCCATTGACGAGCTGTAGACGAGGGACGCCCTCTGTCAGAGAAAGAAGCTACAGGAAAGCCCGTGGGGAGGCGAGGACAAACCCTGCAGTGCAGGGGGGAGGGAGGGCACCGAAAGACTCCCCGGGTGGACACAGGCGAGTGTACATTCCTCGGCTGTGGTGGGGCTTCTCAGTCACTGGCTCCCGACCCTAAGACGGATCATTCTTTGCTGTGGGGCTGCCCAGTGCCCTGTGGGAGGAGTTACAGCATCTCCGGTCTCTACCCACTACATCCCAGCAGCACCCCTCAAGTTGTGACAGCCAACAATGTCTCCAGACATCAACTATCCCCTGGGGGGAGTGGGGGGAGTGATACCCCAGAACCACTGGCTTAGAAGCAGTGACGACTCTGTACCTAAATCTTGGCTTCCAGATCCCATTCTAAGAAAGAAAAGGAGAGAGGGAGGGAGGGAAGGAGGGAAAGGAGGGAGGGAGGGAGAGAGGGAGGAACGGAGGGAGGAAAGGAGGGAGGGAAGGAGGGAAGGAGGGAAAGAAAGGAAGGAAGGAAGGAAGGAGGGAAAGGAAGGAAGGAAGGAAGGAAGGAAGGAAGGAAGGAAGGAAGGAGGGAGGGAGGGAGGGAGGGAGGGAGGGAGGGAGGGAGGGAGGGAGGACAAATTTTTCGGAGAAATGGTTGAATAGCTGACTGGTGGGGAAAGTTCCAGATGGCTAGGAGCATACTGTAGTGTCAGAAGCATGCAAGTGCTGCTAAAAATAATAATAATAATAAAAAAGTGGAAAGAGCTGCAAAGAATTCCCCGTGGCCAGAGCTGTGCCATCTGAGCGCCTAAGCACCAGTGCCAGACTGCAGCCCAGAACGAGAACGGTCTAGGAGTCCACACCGACATCAGCTGATGGTGAACGAATAGAAAGGGGGGGAGTTCCAGAAGAACCCCTAACAACACATGCAAATGCCCCCGGGCATGGGCGGGCTTGGTGACTGGCCCCCGCTGCAGGGGAGCAATGGGAGGTGGACAGAGAAAGGCGCCCCCTTAAGGGAAACCGGGTGAGCACCTCAGTCCCGCCAACGTAACACACCTGGTGAGAGTAGGGTGGGCAGGGAACCTCGAGTGGTCTTCTTCCCAGAGACCCACAGCCCCAGTCCAACCACAAGACACCAAACGAACCCAAACCCAGGGACATCCCACAAGATGCCGGCCAGTGTCCTCGGATTGTCAAGGATGTGGCAACAAGGCCACAGCCCGAGGAGCCTGAGGAGACACCAGGACAGGGCGGGTCCCTGGACAGAAAAGGACATGGGCGGACAGCCTGGAAGGACCCACGTAGAGTCTGTGGGTTACCGATGTCATCTCTTGGCTCTGACAAAGGTAGCGAGGTCATGTGCGATGTTCATGGGACTCGATGCTGCTTGCAACCTGGCTGGAAATCTAGAATTTTCCCAAGCTAAAACGTTGTAAAAACTGTGCTAGCCAGTATACAGAAATAAAATCGATTTTTGTTTATTGGTCATTCAATGGCCTTGCTAAATCCACTCATTCATTCTCACGTGCTTGTGGGTTATGTTGTACTTTCCGTGTATACCTACAGTCTGTAAATAAAGATGGGTTTACGTCTTCCTTTCCGGTCTGTATCCATCTTACTCGTTTTTCTTGTCTTATTGCTCTGGTTAAACTTCTAGAATGATGCTGAATGGAAGTGGTAATGCTGTTTTCGTCCTAATCTCGGAAAGTAATGCTCAAAACTCTTAGAAGTTGCTTTCGGTGAAGTGTGTGTGTGTGTGTGTGTGTGTGTCATGACACTAATTCTGACCCACGGTCACAGCTCTTTATCAGATCCGGCCCTAAGCTGCCTGCACGTTTAGTAAAAACGCCACCCTCTGTGCTCGTTATAAAACCACGAGAAGGTGGGGGCACAGCCAGCGGCTGGGCGTATATCTGTAAACAGCACGCGGGGGCGCACCAAAGGCAACCAACAAGGAGGGGGCGCGGGGAGGAGGGGGCCTTCCGGCTAGAAGGTTCCAGATGCGCTCCGCGCGGCGGTGAGAGGGCCCCGCACGCGCGTAAACACGGCTGAGCTTTGCGCACGATGCAGGTCGGTTAGTTTGCACCTCGATCTAACGCTTTAAAAAGTTCCACACCCCCAATCGGTCGGCAGGTCCCCCGTCGGGCGGGGGCGGAGCCTTGCTCCCTGCCCTGGAGGCTCCGGGGCCCGGAAGGCGCGCCCAGAAACCCAGGCGCAGACCCAGACGGAGCGGGATTTGGCCGGGAGGGGGCGGGGCGGGGCGGGGCGGAAGGAGGGCCGCGTAGACCCGGCCCGGGGTCCGGAGGAGGAGGAGGAGGAGGAGGAGGAGGAGGAGGAGGAGGAGGAGGAGGCGGAAGCGCACAGTCTGCCGAGCGCGTGCGGGCGGCCTCGCGGGCTGCGGCCCGGACCCCAGCATGCTGCTCCGACCGCGGCGGCCACCCCCGCCCGGGCCGCCGGCCTCGCTGGGGCAGGACAGCCCCGACGAGCTCGAGGACGAGGAGGAGGAGGAGGCGGCGGCCGAGGACTCCCCGGGGACTCCGCCCCGACGGCCCGCCTCGCCGGGCCCGCCCGAGGCGCACGAGCTGCCCGGGTCGCCGGTGTCGCCGGGCTCGGCGCAGCGCACGCCCTGGAGCGCCCGGGAGACCGAGCTGCTGCTGGGCACGCTGCTGCAGCCGGCCGTGTGGCGGGCGCTGCTGCTGGACCGCCGCCGCGCGCTGCCCACCTACCGCCGCGTGTCGGCCGCGCTGGCCCGCCAGCAGGTGCGGCGCACGCCCGCGCAGTGCCGCCGCCGCTACAAGTTCCTCAAGGACAAGCTCCGCGAGGCGCAGGACCAGCCGCCCGGGCCCTTCGACGCGCAGATCCGCCAGCTCATGGGGCTGCTGGGCGACACCGGGAGTAAGCGAGGCCGCCGCCGCTCCCCCGGGCCCGGGCGCCCCCCGCGCGGCCGCCGCCCGGCCCCCAGCGCGCCCGCCGGTGCGCCCGCCGCCGAGCCGGGTAGGTGGGGTGGGGGAGGGGCGGGTGCCGGGCGGGAGAGCCGGGTGGGTGGGTGGGGAAGGGACTGGGGGTGGGGGAGCGGCGCCGGCCCGGGTACCCAACCCCCTACACCCTCTCCGCGTTGCAGACGCCCCGTCGATGCCCGCGGCCCGCGAC